GAAGGAGGATGCTATTATAGCACCCTGAGGATGCTATAAGGTACACTAAATAGTAAATAGTCTAGACAATTTACGTTTTTTGTGGGTGCCTATTTTAATAAAAAAAATAATAATCTATCCAATTCTTAGAATACAGTTTATAATGTCTACAATTAAAGATAATGGAAAGCATTTTCCATCTTATTTCAATATACTTGTGATTTTCCAATATCTTTAATTGTAGTAAAGACTACTTTATTGATCATATGAAGTAATGAAAATTCAAATTTGAGAAAAATAACTACATTGGAATTTTACGTGTTTAGTTTGGTGAAAATATGGAGCACACAGTACTAATAGATTATTTTTTATTAGGTTAGGTTGCCACCTGCAATTGTTCAAGACATTTACAAAATAGGTGTCACGACTATAGTCCCCCCTCCTTAAGGGTGCTCCAGCCCTTTCACTAAAGACTTCATTCTCTGCACCTGTTTCCCATTCCCTGCCCACCTTAAAAGCCAGGCGCTGACGCTCTTCCGGGCTCTGCATCTGATTTCCATATCGTGCGAGTCCGGGACCAGGAAGCGCCTGGTCCCGTTAAGGTTTTAACCTCTGTTCCCGTTCCTGTTCCCCGTCCGCCGGTTCCGACCCGGCCTTCGTGGTTTTAATTCCGAGTTCTGATGGATCTCCTGGTTTTGGACTTACCTTCGTGTTTTGGATACTCTATGGATTACTCTTTGGGATTGTTCGCCTCGGCCACACCTCCCCCGTGCACCAGCGCACCTTGGACACGCCCCCCTGTCTTCAGCCCCGTTTTCCTGCATGACGTTTCCCTAGTGTTTCCCCACTCCGTCGGATTGTGTCATCCGCATAGGGTCCGGAAAGAACTGTTCGTTACAATAGGTATTCAAACTGCAGTAGGAGCAGTGTTAAAGCATAGCTAACAGGAGGCAAAATGGGAGATGTAATCTCACATTTAGATGGGAACACACAGATGCGCCTAGCATCTTAGCTGCCTTAGTTGCTAAACCACACCCTAGCAGTTCACTGCTTTAACCAGAATGAAGTCTATTTAGAAGGTCCCTATCTTCAAATCACAGTCCCTATCTGATTTAATCAGATGGGTCATATGAGAAACAATTTTCCTGGAAAATCATGACCTAGCCAAGAAACTTGTTCCAATTGTTCAGGAGGAATATATGAAGAAGAAAATTATTTTAATTCATGTATTTAAACCATTCAGATGATTAGGCAACTGAGTTAATCCTATGACTAAAATAATATTTTGATTATTTAACTATTTTTGTATCAAATTCTAGCAAATTGGATACTGAGAGAGGGGCACAGGCAATAGTGGCCCCAAGAAGAGGTAATTTAAGGAGAATAAAATATAGATTCATTCCAGACTGAAAAACAAAGGAGTAAGTGTAAGTGAATTCAATAAGAGTGCTATACCTTCATTCCTGAATAAAGGTGCATTAACTTAGTTAGTGTACCTGAAGACAAAGTAGGTTGAACAGTATGAAGATCAAAATACAGCAGGGAGTTCTGTAAGTTGCTTCATCAAACAATTTTTCAATGGAGCTCCGTAGACAACAGCACTCGCAACAGTATCTTAGTATCTTAGATGTTATAGAATAACATCACATTTATATTGCTATTGAAAGAAGTGTCTACCTATAAAATAATACACAAATATCTTAAATCTATAAATTCAATGTATTATTAATCAATCATCCTTCATTTACAAGGAATGATTTGTAATAATACAACATTATGGAATATTTTTAACTGGTATACCACACATTATATTTTCTATTATTATTATGATTATAGGAACAAAGCAATGCTTGACCTTAATCTAAGCACACAATCAGTATGTTTAATTCCAATATATATTAAATACATACTTAATTGGGACAAAATATTACAAACTTAAATAATACTGGATTAGCACACATTAGTCTGGGATAGATATCTTTAGACTTTGAAGAGGCAAAGAGGCATTCAGGCCTAAATTAAACCACACTGCTCAGTTCAACTAGATTAAAAAAACACAAAATTGCAGTATACTAATTGCTTAATATAACTGAAAACACTGTGTTCACTTGATATCTCCATTTGTATTCCACATAAACTCTTTCAGACATTTGCAGTATTGCGCCGTGTGCTGAACGTCTGCTGCGACACTTCTTAAGTTACAGCCAGGGAAAAAAAAAGTCTTCCCCATTTTAAATCATAATTATCCACAAAAATATTATCTGCATCAAAAGGCGTTATGGAGTGCTTGGACTTCATTAAGGAAAAATTAAGCCGGAGAAAGAAAAAAAGGCAAATTTAGGTACCTCTTTGAAAATTTCCACTGGAAATTAGCTGAAAGAAGGCGATGAATGCTGGATCAAAAGGGGCTAATCATGCTTAAACGTGCCCTGGAGCACCGAAATGTATAATACGATTTGCACAGTAACTACCTCTCCTATTACAGCTTGTTTAGAGTACTCCGTGTTAATGGGGTTAGCTAATTTAGTGTTTTAAGTTGAAAAAAGGCTGAGCTGCTTAATAAATATTGCACACTGTGCTAGTAATTAAAATAAATTGAAGGATTTTAAACAGAGATGGGACTGTTAAAAAAATAGTCTAAAAATGTTATTATGATAATCCTCTTATAATTATATTTTAGTCAAGATTTTTTTTTTAAATTGAAGTTGCTAATGTTTAATGTTTTATTACAAATTTCACATTAAAGTTATTTTCTTTATTCCTTAGCTTAGTCACAGCATATATCTTCCCTTCTCTTGCTCTATGGAAGTTATAAAAATATATTTGGCAAAGAATTTCTTTAGATTCTTTTTTAAAATACTGCTAATCAACTATAATCAAGCTTTTGTTTATTTATCTCATTTTTTAAACTAAATGGCTTTTGACATTTGAGTTAATCTAAAATTACTTTCTGTACTTAGAAAACAGCTTCTCAGGCATTGAATCCATACTGTATGTGCATATTAATTAGTTCTGGCTGTTTCACAGTGATTGAAAGAAAAAAAAAACTAAACAAAATTCTAAATCTGTTGCACATAGATTTAGAATTATATATATATACATAGTGTCTATATAGTCAAACCCAAGTCATATGTAAAATCAAAGTCAGCAGTAATTGAAACAAATATAACTCTCTAGTGATTGCAATGTTGCAAATCAAAATTACTTATACAGGAAGCAGAATTAGAAGTTTGCTTACTGCAGGGGGTTTTACTTACTTTCTAGGATTGTAAAAAAACAGTGAATTGATATTCAGTACACGATATCCTTCTAAAAGTATTAAGTGCCTTGAAAATGTATCTAGACTGTGACTGTGGTCTAAATCACAATTGGTCCAAAAATCACATTTTGTGATTTTAATAACACTAACTTATACTTACACAAAAGTAATATTTTATTCAAATCTCGAATGTTCAAGTTAAAGGCTTCTAATGGTAGGACAAGTTACAGTGAATGTCAACAAAACCTTAATAAAATATTAAAACATAAATATTCAGACCTCTGAGCTCAATATTGGAAGCCACTTTGGCAGCAATTATACCCAAGTCTTTTTGGGTAGGTCTCTACCAATTTTGTACACAACCTTGATAACAAAACCGAGTGTTTTCTTCTATTATAACAACTTTGATCATTATTAATACAATTTCGAAGCTTGCCTGTGAAGCTGAAAAAAACTTGAAACCGACAAAGTGACAACATTTCTCACTTAGCAATATTTAATTCACACTGATCAGAATCTTTAAAAATCTGATGACTACAACTAATGTAAAATGTACAAGAGCAGCCAATTTGAAGTAGTGCAGTAGCTAGCCCATCACATTTCCCAATTTAACCTAATTGTTAAATTAGATTTCATAAATGGGTGGCACAGTGGTGCAGTGTGTAGTATTGCTGCCTCACAGCACTGAGGCTCGGGGTTGAATTCCTGGGGAGGTATCTGGGTGGAGTTTGTATGTTCTCAATGTTTTTTACATGGTTTCCTCTGGTTACTCCAATTTCCTCCCAGTGCATTGACTAACTAGTAGGTTAATTGGCTTATTGGAAAATTGGCCCTGGTGTGAGTGGTGTGCATGTTTGTGTTAGTGTCTGCCCTGTAATGGAGTGGCATCCCATCTAGGGTGTATCCTCCCTTGTGCCAATATCTTGCCAGGTTAGGCTCCAGCAGCCCTATGGTTAAGAGGATTACAAATTGATGGAATTTATCAATATGTTTGTTTTCTGTACCTCCATTAAACTAAAATTCTACTTTTTGAACTACAATATAGAGATTGTATCTTAAAACAAAATGGCTAAAATTTCAGCAGATTATCACCGTAAAAGTATTTCTATATAAAAAAGAACAAATATTAAGTTAAACAAATATAATAAGTAAAAATGACTTTTGAACAGTAGTAAATGTAGAAATATATAAGACGTTGTCCTTTGCAAAAGACTAAATCCTCATAAAATAAAAATATATGAGGCCATATGGCCTTGCCATATCCAGTTGATTGATTTTACAACATAATGATCATTTCCCCCATGTTACTGAAAAAAATAAATCAGTCTTTGAAAATATGATATTTAGATGAAATACCAACATTTCCAAATGAACAAAAGTATTATATCCTTGAGGAAACATAATTTAAAATATTTCCTCAGAAAGCATTGTTGAACTAAGGACTATAATGCCCCATCTGTTTCACATCCAAATAATAGCAGATGTACCTTCCTTAATTAGCTTTTATCATTTATAAAGAAGTTTATAATCAAATAAATTTGGCTCTGGCCTTTATGTGACTTTTATTGTTGCAGACGTGTGGGGAGCAATCCCAAATAAAAACTGTATTAAAATGCTCATCTAATCAGACAGTAAGAGTAGATTTCCCTGAAATCTGAAAAAAATAAGCTTTGGAAACACAAATCTTTGGAAAAGTGTCTGCTAAAAAGCAAACAAAAAAAACAGCTGCAGTGGGAGTGCAACCTAAAAGGCCAAAACTTACGGCTCGTCATTCAACCGGTTCCTCCACTCCTCCTGTCTCAGCTCTTTTCTGGCCTCCTCCACTGACGTGATTGATGTGGCCACGCGCAAGGTTGGCTCCAGAGGCTTGAAGCGCTGCTGCAATACTTCAGCAGGATCGCGGAAGGGCCCCTGACAGGTACAGGATAAGGTAAATGTTTTATTGTGGGTCTTCCTGACACATTATTGATAACACCAGAAGCCCATGAGGCTGCTGAAAGCTCCACAAACTCCTATTTTCTTTAAATTATTAATAAAAGCAATTCCTCCTGATGCACCGTTGCAAATAGCATGATGGGTTGATAACATTTGCTTGATAGATGGGCATTGAGGAAACTCTTACATTTGGAAGCTGAATTCTTCACCTGTAAATCAATGCTGCCATATATATAAATTTATATAGTCTCTAACCAACAGGGGACGTTCCCTCCATTCATTTATTTATAAGTATTGGAGAAGGAAACCCTTTGCTACATCATTTTATAACCTATTTAGAACAGTACCAAAGGGTATACAATTTTATCAGCTTTCATCACTTTATACTCCTCACACACAGTTCAAACTAAGCCCACTCATTTATGTCTGCTCACATTGAAAAGGTTTTCAGCATTATTTTTAAAATACTTTCAGGTGGCTATATATACATTTGGTGTGTCAGCTTCAGGATAAAATCCAGGGTATAAAGCTTTGATATTTTATAAAGTGAACCTCTACATTTTAGAACATCAAAAGTAACATGAACTGAAGTTGGATATTTAAATTGTTTTCATTAACCTTTTCTGCAAATAACTAACCATTGTCAAGAAAGTAATGCCATATCTAATCTAGTTTTCATTATATAAGTTAAGAGTATGCTAGGGGGGTATGCATCTAATATAGTATAAGATGAGTTTATGTGTCTGAGAATCCTGCCACTGATAGTCAGACTTTTCGCCACTTTGTTATGTGATTACATTATTACTTTACTGTCACTAAAGTTTTAGGTATATATAATACCAATTTATTTAACCAAATATAGTATCTTTATTCATATTCCTGCATGACTGTTATAACGGGAGTCAGTCCAGGCTCCCGTGAAGCATAGTTCGTTCAGGACCTGTGCAGACGTTATATTCCGGAAGTAAGAAGAGAAGGACATGGGAGGGGGGGTGGGAGGCGAAGAGGATCAGGACAAGTTGACAGACAGGGGGGTGTGACTACAGTGATCCATTGCTCGGGGGGCGTGGCGATGGCAAACAAGTTCAGGCAGTCCAAAAATGGGGAAATCCGGCGCAATCCAAAGTCCAAAACGGGGGATCCAACCAAAACAAAACAAACACAGTTAAAATCCGGATCCGGAACAGGAAAAGGGAATAAAACTAAGGTAACGATGCCAGGCGCTCTGAGCCCCGGACTCAGATGGTCAGGAATGCAGTGATGAATCCTATGCTGTTGGAGTCTCCCCTGGACCCACTGGCTTCCGGGCATCCATCTCCCAGTGCTGAGCCAGGAATAGCAAGAGTGCCAGGCTTAAATAAGGAGACAGAACAGGGGACAGGTGCACGTAATTCAGTGCGCATTAGGTGCTGTGGGTTCTTTATGTCTTATCCGGCTTCTCCTCTGCAATCTGGCATTATGTTCAGTTCCTGTCCTACCCTGCACCCCAGCCTTCTCCCTAACTTTGTCCCACTCTCCAATAGCTCCTGCTTCCCGGTCTGCCTGGACTTTCCTTGTTGCCTGCCTGTGTCCTGACCCACCCGATCTCCCCCTGAGGAACCTGTCCTCTGTGGTGCTGCTTCAATTTGCTGTGTGCTTTGGGCGGCCAGCTTTTTGGCTGCTAGCAGTGCCACGTGGGGCTGTAGGCTTGGTGTGGCAGCTGCCTGTTGTAATTGTGCACACTTATGTTTCCCTGGCACTCACATCGCACAGGAATTGTCTTGCAGTGCATGTGAGGTGCTTCTGGTTCCCTGGTGTCAGCATCGTACTGCGTTCTTTCTGTGTTATATCCGCCCCTGCTGTGTGAGCTGGCAGTTCTCACGGGGGCCTGACATCTCAGCCCTGCATCTGGGAGCTTTGCACAGTTGTCAGCTTTGGGGGTTGCCCACTTCCTGCACTCCAGTCCCTTGTCCTGCCAGTTTTGCACTCCAGCCCTTCCTCTGGCCTGATGTTTCACACTGGACTCTGCTTCAGCCTGCCGGTCTTCCTGTCTTTTCTGTCCTGTCTTGTCCCTGGTTCTGTGTTCCTTGCTCTTGTCCCCGTGAAGAAGAGTCCCTTATGAAGTTCACGGACCACTACTGCTGGACTGTGATGCCCTTACTGTTGGGTCTGAAGCACCTGCTGGGCCACCCCTGCCATCATCATGCAATGGCATAAGAATATGTAACAGTATGTAAGTTTGGAATTCATCACATTTATGTGTGACTAAAGTTCAAAGATATCCTTTAAAGCATGGAAAAAAATAACTGAAAAGCTCTAATTTCCCTTAACCAAGCAAGAAATCAATTTTTACCAAGATTAAGAAAACAAATTGTTCCATCACAACTCACCCGAGAAATGAATTGAATGATTTTAACTGTATGTCTGCTTACCCAAAAAACACTCTAGTCTGTTTTTGTGGCGAAACATCCCCATCTGATGTGAGATGTCAATACTTTGTGACATGCTATTCCAAGAAGAACCAATTAAAAACTTCAAACAAGCTCTAAAGCCTAGTATACACTATACAAAGAACTGTTCCTACATACTGGTGTTCAGAAAATGTTCCCTCGATGATTCATGTCATGACAAAGAAACATTCTTCTCCAGGCACATCTATATGCCACTTTAAGAAATGTTTTTTCTAAAGCAATTGTTTCCACACCAAATTGGGAAAAAAATGTTCTTTAGAAGACATCTAAAGACCCTATTTGGTCTAAAATACTAAAATATGGGACATTACCATTTTGATTAAATTAGTATTGTAGAAACAAGTAATTTCAGCTATATAAGTAAAATAATGTTTTTGCTGAGAATAAAAAGTAAAATAAATGACAAAGTTTGTACCTTAATGAAAAATAGTTTAATCTCTAATTATCCTTTTATCTTATATGTATCAGGAGATTGTGGGAAATCTCATGTGTTGTTAGGATGGCTACAATGGTGATAGCCCTAGCTCTCCCTGACATGTTCCAAGAGCTAGTCAGAGAAAGTTATTCACACAACTGTAAAACATTTTGACCTCTATTTCAAACTGTAGATGAAGCGCATGAGTAAAATGAATTGATTACAAAAAAATACATTTTGAATTGTGTTGACATTGCAGCAATAAAGCTTATACATCTAAATATATTAATTAGAAAAGTTCAAGATGACGTTTTCTAGTGTAGACATATGGAATAGGAAAACATACAGTACATCAATCAATTGTAATTGTATTGTGAATAGCCATTGTATAGTTTATTGTATCGCAATCTTAACCTAATCCCTGTAAACATCTGTCCTTCTACTCTTCTACCCCTCCTATCAAGCTTGTCGATAAAGCATTTCATTGCCGACAACACCATTGTATGTCATTCTGTTCATGTATTGATAAATAAACCTTGATTGATTGATGAAAACATGGGTAAATGCCTCAGTATCCTGTTTTTCTTGTTTGAAATGGAATATTATGTTCCATGTGTGCTCAACTGTGCCAATTAAGGGCAAGAATCACATTTTCAGTTTCACTTCCAGACATAACAAAAAACAACTACTCATTTCCTTAAACAACATTTCTTTCTTTTTGTCTTCCCATTGTCACTCATCAAATCTAATATTTAAGTAAAAAATAGATTGATTTCATCTGATTGACAGTTTTGCAGAAATATTTGGAAAATTCTTCTTTAAAGCACTAACCTTTGTATTCTCTAAATATACTTTTATATGACAAAGATTCACAGACATATGTGGCATTTTAATTAAAATTCTTGACCACTAACCTGAATCTGCTAGATTAGTAGTAAAAGCAAAATGGGTAAAAACCCAGCAACAATGATACAGTATTTTTAAAATGATGAAGTCAATATTTTATTTATAGGTTTAATTTTTATTTTACCATTTTGGACCCTATCTGACCACCACATTAAATCTGTCAAATGATAAAGTATTAAAATGTATTTAAAATATGATGAAATATTGAATGAGATCAAATTTACATGTACTTTGATCTATGCATATTTATGTATATGTTCGTGTTGGGGTTATACTGATTGACTTCCACTGGGAAATTCATGAGGCATAATGAAGAAATGAGCTTTAGTTAGAGAGGTGGGACCATTTGTGTCTGAAACAAGTAAGGATTAAATCTCTCCAGTGATGACCAAGCAAATAAAAAAGATTTGCGTAACAAACTCAAAATCAGTGATGCAGGAGAGTGTTTGGAAGGTATCCTGTTGATAACATAGACAATTTACTACCAAATTTAAATTATTAGAATCACATTATGTATACAGTACTAGGATACAATTAAATACCTACAGTAAATAAAAATATACATCCTCAAAGATTTAAGATTTAAGATCTCACATGTTTTATGCCATTTGACTACACAGATAAAAATACACTCTTTGTTTCAGTTCGCTTTCAGTTTGACCTTCAGGTGCTGAGTGTCGTTGTAGTTAATTCATGCAGGTGAGTTGGGTATCATCTTTGATACTATCAACAACGGTTCAGCTCCCACTGTCTCCAAACTCATTGCTTTCTATAGGAAAGATATAATCCATCTATCACAATGAGATAGTTATCAAATAGCAGACTGGCATTAAGGAGATCTTGCTGGAACTGTTAGCAGGTGAGAAAATGAAACCCTGCCTTTTGTGATTGTAAAATGTAAATAGATAATGCCATTCCATGCAAAGCGCATACTCTGAAAGATCTCCTTTTTTAATGAGTTCCTACTAACAAGGCACAGCTGGAGCCTCAGCCAGCCTGAGTGAAGACAGTGGCTCTAATAAAAAGAAATGATTCACGCCTCATTTCTGCTCACTTATGTTTTACATTAATAGAAACCAATAATAGGAACCAGTTACCATAAAAGTCATGGACCGTAAATAACACAAATGGCAAATACGTATCATCAAATACTTTTCACAGCTGGACAAGATGACATGCTAGATTTGAAGGTACTTAAAGAATTTTTTATTAAGGCTATTTTAAAAGCTGTGGTATTCCCTTGCTAAGAGCTGTTTAATGACATGCATTTAATAAACGTCTGAGCGTAATGTTGATAGACACATTTCTCAAGCTAGCTGGGCATCTATATGTTCCAACAATTGTTAAATGTGATTGGAAGACTGTTTAACTATATTGTACTTCCCTAAAGAATATAAAATTGCATATTAAACCTGTCTTACCAATACATTTCATGGTACTTGGTGATATTTTAATGGAATTATAGAATCTTTTTTAGAAAGGCAACAAAGAATAAATATGCATTAAATTATTAAAACAAAAAGTTTCAGATATTTGAATTTAATTTTGATAATGTTTATATGACTAATTAAATAACTATCCTTTATGGGTAAGCAGTTTTGTTTTTCAGGTTAGAAATATAAAATATACTTGCTATGAAATTTATAAAACTTTTCTAAAATGCTTGTCTTGATCTTTATATTAACTCTCAACATTCTTTTATTTCATTCATAATGTAGTTCAATCTATCACAGCACAACAAGACTTAAGTTTAAGACATACAAACATTTTCTTAATTGGACTGTATGTATACAGTCTCTAGTATGTACTGTATGTATACAGTATGTGTCTCTATAAAATAATATTGATATTGTTTTTAATCAATTATAATTATTAATGATGATAACAGTAGCAAGCAGCATGTTCTGCAGGAGTAAGATAATATCAAATGCAAAAGAAAACATTGGTACACTTTTAAAAAACTCACTACAGCCACCAAATTGTGTGACCTCTTTCTCATAGAATAAAGGTAATGCACTCCAGTATTCATGCAAATAAGGGGTTCCAAAGGAGTTATCATTCATCATGTGACTTATATTACCAGTTTTTCCAAAAATCATACAAAGTTAAATTTATCATACCAATAGTAGGATTCTTCTTAAAGCATAAGCCTTTACCAAATTTTGAAGTTACTGTACACAGCTTGAATATAAAGTATATATATATAGACAGGTATACAAGAGCGTTTTCTTGTTCAGGGTGTCCAATAACATATTTACATATGTTCTTGGATATAGGCATCTTCCATTAATGTACTGTATCATCTTTTAAAAAGTAAGCTTTTGATTGGTTGATTGTGGCTATCATGTTTATTGGCCCAACATAATAATTACAACATCTGAATTCTCCTCTATCAATGATCACAGTTCCAAAAGTGGTTGTAGAGAAATAAAAATGTTTACCAATGAAGTAACAGACAGGATGAGAAAATACAAACTTAAATGTCAAACAAAATAAGCATAGAAGAAACAGCAGATTACATGCACTAGAAGCATACATGATAGATACATCTCCAGAGCCAGATGGGAACCAATTGTACTTAAGGAAACACGAGATGCTATTCATAGACCATTAACAAAACTCCTCTCAAGATAGGATTAACACCCACTGACTGGAAAATTGCTAATGTAGCACTCATCCATAAAAAGGGTGAGAAAACCAAACCAAGTAATTATAAACCAATAAGTGTTACTACTATTACATTCTAGGTTATGGGAGAAGTAATTATAACTTAACTAGAGGATCATCTTTATAGCAACAAGATTCTAAAGGATAGTCATGAATGGATTTAGAATTGCTCTTGCTTAACTAACTTGATAGATTCACTGAAATAAGGGTGTTCTTCTTCTCAAAGATTAATTCTCACATTGCAGGGAATATTCATTTAAGGTAACATACTGTTTTTAAATTGCCCTCAGGTTATTGGACAGCTAAGGGCTAAATGCACAAATCAGGGTGATGTAATTAACAGTGTACCTCAAAAATCTATATTAGGACCACTGCTCTTCCTAATGTTTTTTTCAAAGATTCTGCTATGGTTAGCAAAATAAGTTTGCAGACGACACCAAAGGAAAAACATTATCAAAACTGTATAATCTGCAAAAGAAATTTGAGAAATATCAAATATCAGGTAGAAAACTCTTAATTCAAACAATTGTAGGGTGTTGCCTGTATGGAGAAACAGCAAAAGAAAACTTTAAATTTACAACGTGACACGTTGAACTTGAAGAGGCTATTCATAAGAAAGACTCAGGTATGTAAGGACATAATCTTCCAGGCAAAGTTGCGGAACAATAAAAATGACAAACAGAATGGTTTGGCTATGTGGTTAAATGTCTAGAATTAAAATATAGGGATTTATGTTATAGTTGTTAACTGAGAATCTCCTTCACTAAAAAAACAGAGAAGAGCAGATTAGATTCAAAATCCTCAAAAGCTGGTTTAGAACAAAGTTTGTTCTATGGATTTCTTCAGATTAAACAGTAAATTATGAAACAGAGGACACAAGTACAGTACATACTAAAGGAAAGGGAAGGTGAGCTTAAAACTAACAAGAGAAGTGTTGGTTTAAAAACAAAGTGTAGTGGGAGTACAGTACATGGTGCTCAGTCATGTTGTTAAAGCTGATGCTTTGCCTTCTTTCAAGGAATGGCTGGATAATCAATTAGCTAATGGCAACTGAAAAGGAAGATTATCTGAATGGATTTCTTCCATTTTTATCCTTTCTCATGTTCTTACAGTATTTTACATTATAATTTGCCCATTTCATGTATATGGCTATACAATTAAGTGTAAAATTGAATTTCCCCATTCATCTGCTTCAGCTGTTTATCATTACCTACAGAATGAAGAATGAATGATTTTTAGTTACCACTTTTGTAATAAAATTCCAAACCCCAGATTAATTTTATAAGTTTGATCTTTCTCACCTGTGGTTTCTTCTTGGGGATGGGAGGCAAAGGCTGTGCCATTGTGAGGGTTAAAGGAGATCCTGGTACATTCATGTTCACAAGCCCCTTGCTGGTCTCTTTTCTATGGAACGACGTTTTAAGGCTCAGAGGTCTCATGCTCTGTGGTTTCAGTTCCATCTGCAGTTTCAGTTCCATTTCATCTGGGAAAGGTCTGTATGGTGAGTTAAAGACACCAGGGCACTGGGAAAGGGGAAAAAAGTAAAAATCATCCTTAAACTACAATACAGTAATAACAATTCATTTTGCCTTTAACATAGACTAGCTGCTTTTCAAGATCAATATTTTAGCATAAAAAAACCATGATAAAACTAGCTTTTTACTGTAAAGGAGTAATGTTATTAGCTCATTTAAACTTGCTAACTAAGATCACACATCACATCTTATCATGTAACAATTCATAATCTAATTCAATTTGTTAATGACTTTCAAAGACACAAAGTTTTAAAAACCAATACATGTGCAGATTAAATATATTCATACAATGGATGTCTAGATTTTGTAACAAATTTGCCTTTAATAATTTTGTATTAATGCAATAGAGGCTATAAAAAGTCTACAAAATCACAGCTCTCCCAATTCTACTACTTTGATTCAAGGTAGGTCTGCTATTAAACCAACAAAATACAAAAGAACAGCAAGAGAAAAATAACTTAAAAAGTTTGCAAATGTTTTCTGTGTTACATTGATTTGTGTGTGTTGGTAAGAAAATGTTGAAACGGAACAGGCCTACTTGTAATTTGACTTCTCAAATTTAAAGTAATGGTGAGGGTAAGATCATATAGAGTTCAAAGAACCACATCCTATTTGAGAACACAGAGAAATAGAACACCAAATTACAAATGAAAAGTTAGGCATTACAATTCACATATGGAGCTTTGATGGTCTGGATACACAACAAACATTCAAATAAGGTGAGACATTCTCCATCTGGATCCTAACAATCTCGCTTAGCAAACAATGTATATCTTTCGACACACTCAAGTTACATACTTGAAAACCATTGTCAATTTGGATTATGATGACTTGAGTCTGCTTGTTAAAATTTTAGACAAAGCAAATGTTTTTCTTAATTCTGGAGGTCGTGAGAAAGCAAACTATAAACTCCTCAGTTATATGGATATTTTGTGGTGGGAATAAGGCCATTATAAGATTCCACTGTGATATTAGGAAGACTCCTTCTCTACCATCAATAAACACCTTAACATTTTAGCAACAGAAATGCACAACTGTAACAACTGATCATCAAAGAGTTGTATTACTATCAATAAATATACATGCTTTCTACATACACTTTACTAATTTGCAATTATGATCAAATCAAATTATTGCACTATATTTTCTTTTAATGTCTTCAATGTGGGGATTTTAGAATTAAATAATTCATAAGGCAATTATAAAATAATCTTAATTTAGTTTTATCTATTCTTAATGCTATGGTGACTGACCATGTGTTTGCAAAAAAAGTTAAAATATTTTAATAACTTAAGTGAATCCTTAAAATTGTTCCCTTAATTTTAATAACCAGAAGTCTGATCATGGGGATTTCATATACGTGGATTAAACAAATGTCAATTCAAAATAGCATATTTGAGAGTGTATAAATACTGCCAATTTCTTCCAAGTTACAATTAAAAAAAAAAATAAAGTGAAGAATATGGATTAACACTGTTTACCAGTGCACGGTTTAAGATTGTCCTATATAGGCTGGAATCACTCCAGCAGCTCATATTTTGCCATCCATACTTATTAATATTAAACAATTGACTTATTTGAGGATTATATTTTGAGAATAATAATGTAGGGGATTTTTAAACAGTAAAAGTGCAAAAAAGTTCTGACACCAAATTAAATTACTTGATAAAAGACACCACATAGTCAGGAATGAAAACCAACCAAGCACATCATGCAGTTTCTTTATTTCTTTGGCACAATGTTTTAAGCAAGTGTTATGCTTTTATGACACTTAAACATATACATTTAAACTTATACATTTACTATTATTATTAATTATGTATTGTCCCTGAGTACAGGCCATCTACAGTCAACTAGTCTTCTCACCCCTCCGATAAAATATGGACCATATGTAGGATGAGATACAGAGCTAAAACCATCCCTACCTCTCAAATATTTATTCCAGTGGCTAGGTTCACCAGGAATAACAACACCCAGGAATTAAGTGTACGAGAGGATTATGGAGTGTTTAAAAATGTGGTTTAACCCACTTGGGTGAGGGCTAACCCCCTGGCCATAGGACAAGAAGACTTAGACTGCCGTGCACAGTGAGGTGTGAGCAAGAGGTAGCTACAAAGGTGGAGATAGGGAGGAGGTGGGGTGCAAAAAGACGTATGTTAGGGAGAGAAGGGGATAACATACTGTACACTATTTATAGTGCTTTAGGAGAGGAAATGACATCAGGAGTGATTGCGAATTACTAACAGCTAAGGTAACACAATTGAACATTGTTGTTGTCCTCCCTCCCGTATAAACTCCAAAAAAGAAATTCAGCACACGCGGTTGGGAAATCCTTTTGCTAGCCTACTACAGTACATACAGTATGACCTCTTTGACCACCCCCTATCGCAGGTCTCTATTAGTTACAGATTTTAAAATGGTGTGCAATTTCAGTAAACTAATCACTAAACAATCCCCAACCTGAACTGGTGCTCTCCAACTTACAGTTCAACAAAAAAGGACATAATTGGAAGGGATGAATACTTTTGTAAGGCAATGTACATGCCAATTGTCTTTGGAAAAGCATGGTATGGAACTATATATACAGTACTATACACTGTGATATTTTTTTCCTCATCATCACAGCAGTCCATGCATAACCTGGAATATTAATTGCAGAAGGTCAGGTTCATTGGCAAATGCACCAGTTGTTAGCTAGTCATCCTTAGCATAATGTTAATATTTTCAGCCCTCCTGTGTGGACATCCATCCATCATCTGTCTCCCTTCCTCAGCATTTTTTTTTTCTCTTGATACATGAAAGCATAGATTCTTTCACAATTAGGACCGTGAGGGATAGTATAAAAATTAATGACTGTTAAAAAATAAATAATAATTAAAAAGAAGCAGATCAGACAGTAAAGGACTTCTTTTTTATCATTTACAGATACGGAACAGGCAGAAGGATTTTTTCATTTACTAGAGAGAAATAATATTAAAAGAAAATTAGTTTGGAACCTGCTTTTAAGCAGATGTTTTTAATATCATTACAACATTTAATACAAATATTAAGGTTATAAATAGATTATCTAAAAAGGAAAACACATGGGCATAGATTCACCCTCCTCTCCAAACAGTTTAAGTGACCTGCCTCAGTAATTAGCTTCTGAAACTTATTTTTTCCCTCCTTATCAGTAAAGTGATATCTATGACAAACAACAACACAGTCTTGAAATAGAAGACTACCACTACGAAATACGTTTTCTCCAGCACAAGTGTGTCAGTGTTCAAGAAGAGCCCCGTATTGTAAGTATTTTGATCTTTCAGTTTTGACTTTCGGGTTCTGTTCCCTATATCACGAGCATTCGTATCTGTCCTGAGATAATATTTACAAACTTCCCAAGGGTTAAAAACTCCGAACTCCCCCTACAGTAATAAACCTGAAAACACCTGTGATATCCCTTTGTTAAGAAATAAATGTAAAGTCTTAAAGTGCTATATCCAGTGCTACATGTGCAAAGTCTTTTCCAAGTACTAGATATGCCACATTTCTTAGAGATCAACAAGCAACATTCTACAGATCTAGTTCATTGGAAAGATAGTAGCTAATTAATCTGAGGAATCTCATCCTGTCTTTTCTTGAAAGAAGAAGGGGTTATGGCTTTTAAAACATGGCTGTCTAGCCTGTCACATGCTCCTTCAACTCCTTGTGTAAAGAAATATATCTTTGTCTCTGTTTCAAATGTACATCCACATAGCTTCCACTTGAGACCTCTGGTTCATACTGTATAACCCTGTTAACTCTGAAGTTCACTGGGTTGACTTTCTTAATGCCTTTGAGGATTTTGAATACCTGGATCAAGTCCCCTCATATCCTTCTCTGTTGAAGACTAAAAAAACTATTTTAGTTTTTCAGTATAAGACATTCCTTTAAGCCCCAGAATATATCTGGTTGCTATTCTCTTGATTGATTCCAGAGCAGCAATATCTTTTTAATAACGTGTGTTCTGAATGTTCTACAAAGGGCTTTTTTTCAATTCAATACTGACTGCACTGACAAAAAGGTATGTAAAAATCCTTACAGTATGCAGTTTGGTCAAAGTTATTACACGTGCCTACAGAAAAATAATAGAAATGATCCATTTCAGTCATCCAATTAATTTATTTCCTATAGTCAACACCTCCCCCAGAATTATTATCTCAGATTTTTACAGCTTTGGAGTTCCTTTCTTATACCCTAACTATTACCTTTAAATGTACACTGTCTTTTATTTTGTTCACTTTCCATTCAAGATATTGCTCTCTCCCTCATTCCCTCACACACCTAAAGAAGGCACTACAAATGAATTCGTTATTCTTTGATTTTTTTTACTTTTTAGCATTGAATTAATCATTGATTAAATGGTCAGATGGAAAACTTATTTGCATTTAAGTTTTTATTTTATTTTCATTAGCTTGGCCAGCAACCATGTCACCCTGGACCTTACAATTGACAGCCCACTGAAGCTAAGCAGGTGTGAGCCTGGTCAGTACTAGGATGTGAGACCTCCTGGGAAAAAAGGTTGCTGCTGGAAGAGGTGTTGATGAGGCCAGCAGGGGGCCCTCACCCTGCGGTCCATTTGGGTCCTAATGCCTGGCCAAATTTCCTATGCCTCCTAATAATCCCCCTCTATGAATTGGCTACATTACTTTGTTCTCCTCCTCCCCCCCCACACTCCGACGGCAGGCTGAGCGACGCTGGTTGGAGTATTCTCGGTCGCATTTAATGGCAACATCAGCTCAAAGATTTGGTTCAAACCACCAAATGGGGGCGGGCGTGCCGACAAGCAGACCCTGCTGATGCGGGATTAACGCTAGGATGAGAGAGACATTTTCATTAGCTTGAACCACACCACTTATTCCTTTAATCAGGTACTCTTTATTTGAAATAAATAGGTAACATTTATTAAAAGATTTCCTGCTAAAAGCTTTTTGGTTTCCACCAGACAGGGTGAAAAATATCAGTCAGATGTGAGAAAAGGAAGGACACCTAATGAAAGGGTGAGACTGTTGAGTGATGTGTGGTTAGACCAGAACAGTCCGATTCTGGTCTTAGAAGACTCGTGCAGCATGTCTTCAGGTTTTCTATGTCTCTTTAATTTTGCAGCACTTAAAGCACCGAGAGACGTACAGTACATTAGTTATACCAGTTCAATCAATAAGAGGTGAGTTAGAATGAAAATCTACAGTACAGTTATTGCGCAGCCCCATGTACCTTCCAGGAATGCCTTCCGGTTTAAAGTAACTCAAGTGCATCAGTTGTTTAGGGGTAATGTTTTTTGAGAGAAAAAAAAGTAATAAAGTAAAAAAAATGCATTCTTTTTAGGATACATTCCCTTTGCTTAGCCAAGTACACATACAAATACAATTGGTACAAATCAAGGACACAATGTGGTCTCTAATTCAATGAAACACAAACACCACACAGACAGACAGACAGACTGAATAATGTACACTTAGACAAGTGTTGTTGTGGGTCTCTGTACATTATTCAGTCTGTCTGTCTGTTTGTTGTTTGTGTTTCATTGAATTAGAGACCACATTGTGTCCTTGTTTTGTACCAATTGTATTTGTATGTGTACTTGGCTAAGCAAGTGGAAAAACATACATTTTAAAATGTATCTGGATAAATTTTGAATGGGACACATTTTATTCATTTTCTTTTGTATTACTACTTTCTGAAACTTTGTAACTCCTTTGTAACTTAATAAAGTTTCAATGATACATTTTTACCAGTATGATCGTGTTTTGAGATGCCATGACCTGGTCTGGCCTTAAATTAAATTACTAACTTTGGTTGTGTTTTGAGTTTCTTCCTTTTATTTTCTCATTAAAATGATAAATACCAAGATGTGGAGAAAAAATATCATATTACAGGATTAATATGCAAAGTATTTTAACAGAAATAACATTCCATTCCACCACAAATATTATATAAAGTATATACAATCAAATGTAGCATTCTTGTGCTAGACTGTGATGTTCCCATCTGTTGCAATTGATAGAGCAGTAATCTTCTGGTTTCTACACTGCATTTGTCAGCAGCCATATCACTCTGCAACTCACAACTGGCAACCCACTGAAGCTAAGCAGGTGTGAGCCTGCCTGGTCAGTACCTGGATAAACTAAGGTTGCTGCTGGAAGAGGTGTTAGTTGGGCCAGCAGGGGGAGCTCACCCAGCAGTCCATGTGGGTCCTAATGCCCCAGTATAGTGATGGGGACACTATACTGTAAACAGACGCCGTCCTTCGGATGAGACATAAAACCGAGGTCCTGACTCATTAAAAATCCCAGGAAGTTTCTCCAAAAGAGTAGGGGTGTAACCCAGGCCAAATTTCCCATTGGCCCTTACCAATCATGGCCTCCTAATAATCCCCATCTATGAATTGGCTTCATTACTCTGCTCTCCTCTCCACTGATAGCTGATGTGTGGTGAGCGTTCTGGCACACTATGGCTGCCGTCGCATCATCCAGGTGGATGCTGCACATTGGTGCTGGTGGAGAGGAGTCCCCATTTACCATAGTAAAGTGCTTTGAGTAGAGTGTCCAGAAAAGCACTATATAAGTGTAAGAAAGTATTATTAATTTATTATTATTTATTCTGTTTGCATTAAGGCAAACTTCTGTAGGTTCAATGGAAAGTTGACCTCTGTAATAAAAATAGTATTGTTAAATGGTTAATGATAATGGGAAAATACCTTAAAGGGTTATTTTTTTAGCACTCATGTTTCACAATTGCATTTTGCATGGATGGTGATCAAAGGTATTCTATAGCAGGTTTACCTGCATTATGTTCTTGTCCTGCATCTACCACTCACAAACACATAACTCAACCTTTACAGAGATTAAACAAAAGAGGTGCTCCTTTTGACCTACAACATACATGGGAAACAAAACAGAAAAGTAAAATTGTTGTTCTTGGCCATCTTATGACTGTCCATGAACAATTTTAGCATATTAGCTCCTGATGTATGCTGTCACATTCTATAACTGCCTGTTATGTTTCCTGCCCCAGTAATCGTAAACCCTTCAACATACATAGCTACTGTGTGTGAATCTACAGGAACTGGGAATAGGCAAACAGAGGAGACAAGGATAATGCTGTTGAAGGCAAGAGAAATGTAATGACCGTAAAGGCATGAAGGAGAGCAGCAAATGAAATATTTGCTGGAGATGGGACTGCTGAATCAACACTGACCAGCACACTTCATCATAATTATCAGGACATACTACTGCCAGGGGATTTATAAAAATCCCACTCAGCAAATAATTGCCCTGCTGTTAGGAGATAGTCAGTGTTAACATGCTGTCACAGTCCGGCGTTTAGTAAGATATTCCACATTCAATTACTCTCACTGAGAAGTAAAAGGAAACATGATCATTTGTCAGCTTCTGCTGTTACTCTTCTGAATGAACTTCTTTCAACAATCCAGCAAACACTCCCTGAGTTTATGCAGCTAAATAAACTAATTTTCATTCAGATTCTTTATTAACCACAGCAATTGGCACTTTGTAAAAATTATTGTTACTGTTGTCTGATTAGACTTACTAATTTTCCTTAAATCATTTTTTTCTTCAGCACAAGCCTTACATAAATATTATATCCATACAAGTGGTCACTGAAGGCACCAACATAGGGTGCAAAATTAAATGTTTTTATGCTTTAAGAAATACTTTTTCTCCTCTGTTTTGTAGACTTCTTTCTTTTAGCTCATGCTAGGTCTTCAATAGTTTAGGTTGCTTTTAGCTTGCTGTTAAATTACATACTGTACTCTAACCCTACATTATAAAACTGGATAAAGATAACAATGTTACTAGTTGTCAAACCCCTTAAAATGTTTAATCCATTTAAGTGGTTGTGTAAATCATTCCCTAAAGAGCTCTTTAATGATCCACAACTATTTCCCCTTATGTGACTTTGCATTTCAATGTTGGTATTGCCTACAGACGTCCAACCCAGGGGAAATGCTGTGATCATTACTTTTACAAAAAGTAATTACGTATGTATGTTTTATAGAAATAAGTCTTTTTGTCCTAGCAATCAGTATGTCTTGGAAAAGTGTGATCCAAAGTTTGTACATTAGAGTAAGGAAGCATACATAAAAAACAATTTGCTTAGAATCTTCTCCATCTTGCAATATCCTAACTTTTTATAGTTATACAGATATGAGAAGCTCAAATGAGAAGAAAAAATGCTGTATCTAATTGTTTACTTTATTTAGTTTGGAAATGGTTCAGTCATCATGATGGAGTAGGTGAAAGGTCAAAAACTGTACAGACTACTGATCCTTATAGACAATGACCCCTATCCCTTTATATCACTGTTTGACTAAGTGGAATCAATACCATACTACCATTCTAGTTATATACAGGTTTCCTGTGTTAAAGTGATTTAGGATAATACAGAAACTGTCTATAATAATTAAATCAAACAAAGGGAAACAACTGTTTGTGATATCATTTCAAAATATCCTGTCACACTAAAAAGCCTTACTTGCCCATTTTATCTATGACAAAGTGGACATGCATATGAAGACCACAGCTGCATAGTATGACAGGGTAGGACTTAGGTAAGCACTACAAACCTGATGAGTACTCAGGAGGTAATGCATCCGCTGTGCTTCATAACACTTTTTCTTCTCTTCTTTCTCCAGAGCCATTCGCTCTCTCTCCATCCTCTTGATTTCAGCAAATTCTGCCAATTCTTTTCTGTGAGAGATGAAAAATGACTGATCTATTATTCATTACATCAAGACTTAAAAGAGTACAGATTAAATATATTCTGTACATACTGTACCAGGGTAAATATATATAATTTATACTATGCAGTAACAAACTAAAACAATCTAAGCACTTTAAAAAAATACTATTTGAACACTAGCTGATAACCAATAAATGGAATAATACTTTATGTATAATTAAATCTCATCATGCAACAAATTATGGTTAAAATAATTTTATTTAAAATAAGAATTTATACAAAATTTTAGAATGAAGATTAAAGTTAAATACCACAAATTACAAATAATTGGTATTCACACAGCAATCTTTGACTACACTGGCTCAAAAAAGGAAATGAGAAGGCTAAGTTCATCAGTGTATGTAAAAAACACTGTAAAATAACAAAAATACACAGGCAGTAGTAAGTAAAGGGACTAAAGGGGTATGCAAATATTTACTTATTTTGAGTGATAATCTTTAATTTTGTTAAATCTTTTTTGTTCTTCAATATTTCATATCAGTTTCATTGAAATTTATTTTCACAAAGCTTCTGGGAAAATTGTCCCGAAGTGTGAGTGTGTGCATGGCTGTGTTTGAATGTGTCTGCCTTGGGATGGACTGGTGTCCAGTCGAGGGTGTATCCATTCTTATCTCTGTTTCTTACTGGAATACACTTCATCTCTCCGACAACCCTGAATTGGAACTGTATTCATGATTCTGATGTACTGTACAATTTATGCGGCACTTTCACCTAGACACAGATCTCCACCAACAGCTTCATGTAGGTTTGGACGGAAACATGTGGAAAGACATTATTTTCCTGTACCATTAGAGGTCTCCACTGCACTAATATTTCATGGACTGGCTTGTTCCAGCATACTTTCGTCACTACTGCAGGCCAAAGCCAATCGACTGTATCATGTATCACTGCATCACTGCATCATGTACATTGCCAGTTGTAACTTTAGTTTAAGTAAAACAGGAGGGGGATTCATCCTTTTTCCTCTCTTTCAAAACAACAACAAAAGATGTAGCAGTGTTTTCCTAGTTTTCCTAGTGTCCTGGGAGTGAACATATGCGTCTACATACTATACATTGGCACTGAATAGATACTGTATGTCCACATGACTCATAAGAGCACCTATTCTATAAATGTCCCAGTAGTGTGTATTTCCAATACAGTAGCTACATCAAAAATAAACGTGTTCTGCTCAAGACTTCTTCCCCCCTTTCTAATTGGAAATTTCCTGTGTTTTCTATCACAGTTACATAGGTAATATTAAAAGGAATGTTAAATCCTAACTGAACAGCGGAAGAGTAAGTTACTCTTCCACTGAGTACTATTTGGTTTGTTATTTATGTGTTTTTGCCCAGGCATGAAATACAGTTCTAAGTCATGTACTTAGGGTTGTTTGCTAAATCTGCCAGCAAGAGTGACTGCTCACCTACTTCCCAAGAAGGGTTTGCAAAGTTTACTATTAAGGGTGAAACTGGACAAAACTTACTCTGTGTTGAAAATATTTATTTAATTAATATGTAGAATAACATTAATTTAATTAGTGCTTAATTACTATAGGGTGTCCATAAAAAGTCAAACATTATCACTGCAAACAAAATATAAACATGTTATTTATAAGTTTAATTATGAAAAGAAAAAAACATCATACTACAATTAAGCACTCAAGATGTATTTAAAAGCATCAATGCAAATAATATATGCACAACCCAATGCAACAATATTCAAAACCTAAACATATAAATATTTGTTTAGTTTTATTTTTTGTTGCCTGATTATTGCATGAATATTTACAGTAATAAAATATTCAACATTTTTGTTTTACTTGTACTGTATATCTTGGATAACGTTAACATTTGCAGTATTTCTTAAATTTTTATTCATTATGTTTTTTATTATTTTATATTACTATAGATCTTTTCATTATTACATAAACAAAATAGTCCAAATATACATATTTTAATTGCAACTACTCAATAGAAGCTGAAAGACCTAAATCTTCTCAGTCTTTTGGGGATATACTGTAGTACATATATACTCCAACATTTGAATATACTACAACTTCATTATTTTTAGTTTATTCAAACTCCTTAAAAGGGGACAGAGAATGTGGGCCTCCACGCTCTGTGTGTAGTGAGAGCTGTCAGTCTTCTGTCTGACATCTTTGCTGGGCTGTTGTGCCAGTGTGCATTCGTGAGGACATGAGGACATGAATATGTTATCTTCATACATGTTCAGTTCACAAATGTGTAGTAGCTGGAGCTTCCCAGGGTAAGGAGAATACTCAGCATCTTATTAACCTTATCTGGTTACTGCTAAACTTTAAATCACATCTCTGTTAGGCTGTAAGAAAAAAATAATTAACTACTACATGTACATGTTGTTATGAGAAATATTTCATCTATGTGTTAATATTCATTTTTTTAATGTTAACTATTCGATTCATTTTTCCCCTTACTTTTTATTCAAAAGAGCTTTGGAAAATATACTGTGAAAGTTACTATATTCATTATATTAAAGTGATAAATTAGTCTGTTATTTAAAAAATAAAACTGTTGGTTATTTAACAATGCCTTTTTCTTAGGTGATTTAAAGACCTTTATAGACCTTAAAGAAAAAATCTTCAGACACGTAATGCCTTTCTCCTTCCAAGACTTAATGATGAATGACTTGCCGTCAATTTAAAAAATCAGGATTCCTCAGACATTAATATTTTGGATTATACTTAAAGAATCCTTCATTTGAAATGTTTTTAGGAAATTGCAAATACCATTTTTAAATAAAAAATGCTGTACACTAAATACTATAAATAAACACGAATACATAGAAATTAAAAAAATGCCAAATTTCTGGAACTGAAGGAAACATAATTCTGAAAACAATAAAATTGCATAATTATTGTATTAGTTTTATAATTTTAATGAATGGAAAAATAATTTTAAATAGGAAATTGGAAAAGGTATTCCAGTTCCTAAGAAAGTTAGTCTCTCCTCAAGTTTCTCATGTTTTTTTTCTTTTCAATCACTCATAAGAAAAAGAGAACACTGCTGTATATAACATACGTTCTCTATGTCTGTAACACAGTGGCATTTAAAAGACACCCATTTGTTAATTGTGCAGTAGTGTATTTTGTCTTAAGTAGGATTAAACAGTGAATTATATGAGATATGAAAAATCGCATGGTCCCATATTTGTAACACAGCACTCAACAATTGCTTAGATAAGGAAGTTTAAAAAAGCTAGGTTTAGCTTTAGTTTTAGTGAGTTGTAGGGCCTCACTGCCAGGAAGACAGCAGCTGACCTGTTTGTGGATAACGCGGCATGCTAGCTGAATGACCTTTCCTAACCCATATCTCAAAGCTATTATTAATTGCTATGTAGTACAGCAAAGCCAAACAAATTTGTTTCCATTGAAGGGATCTCTATCTGTGTCTCTGGATTTGTGCTGTACCACACAAACCTCATTAGCTCTGTCCATTTCTGTGGGAGAGATGGGAGTTGCTAACACTGATGACCTTTCTTTGTCCTTGCACTCCATGTTTAGTTGTTAAGCAAGATCAGTGCTCTATAAGCAAGTTTGTTTATGTATACACATATATAACACCATTATGTTCAACAGCAGTTAGAATTATCTACATTATCTGAGTCATTAACTTGAAGTTATATTATCTGGCTTACTTCAGTGGTAGTGTAAACATTTGTAAGTATAAACATATATAATATAATAAATAAGACTATATGTATAAAGACAGGTTACTGAATTGCTTACAACTTATTTAAAGTTAATTTGCTTAGGGAATTGAAAGTAGCACTAATTTTTTATTGAAAGACAATAACAATGTTATTATTTTTAAGATTCATAATTTACTGCAGTGATGTGATGGCAATTTGTGATGAAAAAGAAATTAAAATGTTTTCAATGGTTCATAAGTAATTCTCACAAGTATGTGAAGTATGACTAAGTTATGTATAGTTACTGTACCAAGGGTTAAGTATGGAGTGTTAAAACCATTTATTCTTGACAAGCTTTAAGCGTAGATGAAGACCTCAAATGCTATTGAAAATAAAATAATTATGTACAATAATTACATTTGCTGCTTCCAGAGTTCAGTATTTAATTGCAGATAGCACAGAACTACATAAATGTTAGGGGAATTCTGTCCTTCAGGGCCATTTCAACACAGCTTAATTGGTCTTACTAAATAATTAATTTCTATGTGACCTGGATGGATTTTTAATTGGTCCAATTAAATAATTCAATACAAGGCTCGAAAAGAGAATATATCATTAGAGCTTTTGTTAGTCCTCTATTATTATTATTATTATTATTATTATTATTATTATTATTATTATTATTATTATTATTACCTTGTGCAGGTAGGAATTTAATATGACCAAAAAACTGTTACAGGTGTGAGGGTATCAATATTTGTAAGATTTCAGTCAACACAAAAGCACTCCCACAACTGTAGCTTATCCACAGTGTCATTTCCCAGAGAAAGATCATTGTTATTCCAGCACCTAGTACAGACATATACATGAACCAAAGGAGGTTTTCATTTATAATGGATTCCCTTCCTTGGATGTCCTTGAAAGGGACACGAAACTGTGAAAAGTAGCCTAACCACTTGAAGTCCATAAATTTTCCTCAGCTCGGGATGAGTTAAAAGATTTGCCATGTAAGAACATTACAGAGGGAATTTATCTGATTATAGCAGTAATAATTACCCAGCTGTTTATTGCAGATAGAGAAATAATTCATGCAGGCAACAGGCCATGGTGGCAATGACACTCCGCATTTAGTAAATATGCAAACCGTTCACTTCTAATTACTCAGCCTCGAGGATGCCCTTATTAAGCACAGAAACTAAAAGTGTTTTCTTGACAAGTGATAAATTGTTACATTGCACAAACTCTTGCCACAGAATTACTGGGTTGAACTTAGGTCTTAACTTCATTAAGAGATTTGGAAAGGATAGTTAAATGAAGATGGACATCTTAACATGGCCAGCCTACCAACATATTATGCACAGACAGTAATGAAATGACAGACAGGAAAATCCTTTATTGTTAACAGCATACATGCCTGATACGGAGGTCTGCTTAAATGTGTCTGAGGGAGACTGGTTTCATTGGCATGCGACACACTGTTGCTGTTGCTAAATGGGAGCCATTAGTAAAATTTTAAATCATTTATCGTGCGACATGAGAACATGGATTAAAATCTCAGAGACAGACCTTTACAGGATGACTGATCAGTCACGGGGTGATCTGGAGTCTTAACACAAAGAGAATATTTTAAATAAATGCAATCTGCTGCTAATTGATCACAACCCCCGAAGCACTAAATAAACAAGTGATTAACTGTTAAACAGACCTCTTCTTGGATGTGAAAACAACTGTATTCTGTTATCCTGTATTCCTGATAGTCTTATGGAAGGTCTATAAAAAACACAAAAAATGTAGTGTACCAGGCAGAAACGTAACAGATTACAAACGGTCAATGTACAGTAAGTTTTCAAATCTCTTATTTGATTATGCTTTACTATAAGGTTTCTTACTTCTGTGATCTAATATTTATAGTATTACCCACATCACAGCAAGTATTGTTTTATTCTATGGACATACTGTTTAACGGTCTTAGTAGATTCCTGAGCTGCTGAAACCAGTGTTTCATTCTATCCATTAAGAAAGTGTGGTTACAGAAAACTACTTAGAAATGGAAAATGGATTTAGGAAAGTTAGCAATTGGGCTCACATATACAGTATACACATTGTATATATGTTTGTATCTAGATGCATACTAAATACAAAAGGCAGAAAAATATATTTAGTATATAGAAATAAAATACTTTAATTTCTAAAAGAAAAAAGATCTCCATTAATATTTTCCAAGTGTTAACAAAATTGATACAAAATAATTTTGTATTTGCTGTAGAAAACAACATATTCTGTTATGCCAATTCATATCTAATGACCAGTGGGATGATGTACAGTAGTATCATGGTAAATGCTTTTGAAAAGACATGTTACATCTGTAAATATTACAGTACTTATGTTTGTTCCTACTTTTAGATTACTGAATAGTTAAATTAGTTAAATTTAAATTCTGTATGATTTGTGAATAGCGTATTAAAGAGATATGTGAGAGATGCATCCAGAAATTTACTGTAAACTCCTTTTTGTAATGTTGTAACAGCATTGTTACAAATTTTGTTTTTATTTAAGAAATGTGTACATACTGTATGACCTTGAGTTTACATTTCTGTTAACAAGGCCTTTGTTTCTACATGTATTTAAAATAGATCAGAGATATAACACATACAGTAAAATGCAGTTTTATTCATCAATGTTAACATAACATCAGGAAAGCAGTCTTTAAATATTTTACTGTGTATGTACCAATAACAAAGCCAACACATTCAACACAACAGCTTGTGTCTAGGAAGAAATAACTCACAGGTGACAAAAATCATTACTGCGGAACAGGCCTGCCTACTTCTGAGAAATATAAAAAAAAAGTCAGTGATCCAAGAAGCACTTAACAAATTTACATTTAATTTTAGCCAAAGCCCTAAGATATTTTCCAACAAAATATATTGGTGACATTAAAAATGTGACTTTGGTTTAAGTTTTTTGTCAAAAATAAAAGATGGCATCTTTTTCTGCCCTCCAAGCATAGTGTGTTTTATTAATGCAAGGACTCAGTTAAATCAGTGGCTAATTTTTAATTTCATAACATCATTCGCTTGCTTGTAACCTGGGGCAGTTTTTACATAGCAGGCTAGAGGTTACCAGTGTACATGTCTACCGATTGCATACTCAGCCTTTAAATTAATCAAATCAATTTATCTTTGTAAAAGCGCCCAGAATATGTTCCTCACTAGCGTATGCACTGCATTAATTTTGTATGTTACCATTGAGGACTTAAAGAAGCTGTACTAACATGTAATACTACCATATAGCTATATAGTAACATTTTACAAAACTTTACAAGGGCAATGCTCTAATCAGAACCACTTGAAACACGCTAAACATAGCATCGTTTTCATGAAAGCAAATGAAATGCATTAAGAATACAAATTACTTTTTTTGTTAAATGAAAAGTATCAAATTGTACTTGTACAAAATAACCATTTGTAATCAAACAGAAGAAAAAATAGAATCAGGTTTGCTTTTTGGTATGGGTTTTTTGGTTTGTTTTTCTATAGTATCAAACATTTTTTTAAATCTGTGGTTGCATATATCATTTCTAATTTAAAAAACTGGACCAAAATAATTAGACTTTCCAGCTTTAAAATAAGCATGATTTCCCTTGTTTCCATTAAACTTTCTCAACAGTTTGCCCCAAGCCCCCAGAATATAGTCGTATGGAGTAGAATGCATTATGCCTTCTTAGCACAAAAGAGGCAACAGGGAGAAATGGGTTTAATGGCACATATTCACTATGTTCAGTAGAGGAAAGATCAAGAATTCTCAGTAGAATTCATTTGTCTTTGTTGGTCACACTATTAAAGAGTTTTGATGCCTTTACTCCTTTTTATTTCCATATTGATAAAACTACATAGAATGTGACAGAGCAACCTTGATACTTGAATTCCATTCTACAGGAAGTCTTTGCTCCATCTAGACCTTAATTATTTAAGACATCTTCAGGAGCAGGGTCGATCAAGCAAATATAGTATTGACTGGCTTGAAGTCTAAATGGAATGTAAGTGCCAAGGTTGCCTAATCCTTTGATAATGGTAGCACAATAAGAGCCTTTGCACACTGATCTGATCCATCATTTCCATTCGTCATCTGGAAAAGTTGTCCATTAATTCATTGAACTTTGGATGCAAGAACAGAACTCATCTGAATAAAGTGGCAATGACATCCAGCTCAATCAGTCAAATCAATCACCTACCCCCCAAAAATGGTAATAACCCAATATTAAAGAACTGTAAAATGCTGTGGGTGTATGACAGGCTGATACTTCACCTATCCTGACTTCACACCTCTTGATTGGCCTCTCTTTCTGTCCCCTACCCTTGCTCCTCCTCTCTTCCAGCTTTTGTTCTCCCGCTACATTACCTTTGGTTACTGCCCTGTCTTTCTCACACCCGAAGAAGGCTCCACAGCCAAAACGTTGAGTTTTCTTTCTTCTCTTTTCAGCAGGGAATAAACCTATTACTTGTTCCCTTGCAGCCTACGCATGTTAATGCAGCTACCCACCTGAACTTCTAGAGAGTGTTCTAAGCAAGTTAAAAATTAAAAAACCATGGCTGCCATTAGCCAATAAAATTTCAAGGGAAGTCAACAGGCATATCTTTGCAAATGTTGCAGCATTCATCTACCATATAGTAGAATGTTGTAGTCACATAAAAAAACCACAGAGGATTAGAAGACTATTGTATGGGAATTATATATGAATGAAAGTGCTCACTTTGTGACTTGGCAGGGCAGTTCAATAAGAAATGCAGAGAGTTGTTTTGGTGTCATCTGGTAGTTACATAAATAAATAGCTCCAAGACCCTAGTCACTTATTATCACCAATATGAATAGATATGGATGTGTATTTTTAAAACCTGAATTAATTTTATTTTTTATTTTATTTTTAAGTCACTTTAGGTTAAAAAAACACAGAACATTCAAGTAGTTTTTAATGCAATACTTAAATTAAAAGATCATCATCTTACCTAACTGTTTCATTCATCTCAGTCAGGCCTTTGAAATATTTCTTTCTTGCATAATAATTATGCACATATTTCCTTATATAGTAGCCTCTCCATCTTTTTTGAATCTGCAAACAATCATAAAAGAGAAGATACAATGATCAGCAACTGCTTCTCACAGGTGAAGAATGTACAGTAAAAAGTACAGGAAATCTGATATTGTGGTATACTGTAGCTAATAGTTATCTTTGTTACATTTAATTGTGAGAAATGCACATTTAAAGGTTGAATTTTAATAATTTATATAATGTTTTCAGTGTTTCTTGAAATTATCATATAATATAAAATGTATGTATAAATGTATACAGCCTTTAGAATGCCTGTATAAAATAACTGTGAAAATGAATGTTTCACAATCATATGCAACTTTAACAAAACTGCCCAGCAAAAGCAACTAGAATGAAATTATTTCAACACTACAATCAATAACAATGCAGCAGTGGTTTTACAGTATCTGTGATAATCTAATACATTTTGCAATTGATTTTACTTGTTTTAGTACTGTACATGCTGACCATACATCTTACATGGCCATTCTTTTAATATTGTCATCAAATGTTATTACTCTTGCAATGATGGCAGCAATTTTAGAGAAAGTAAAACATTAAATACAAGTTTTTCACACCCTGTATGGACATCAGTGCGTACATGTTGCACTGATGAGGATATTCATATCCTTATGTCTTGTGTGCACAGACTTGCAGCAACATTTAGGAGCTATGGTAAAAGTGGTAGTGGGTGAGAAACACGACTAATGCTTCTTGAATAGTCTTTTTTTGCTTTTGCTTCCAGCAATTGCTGGGAACAGCAGCAAATAATAAAACAAACATGACAAAAGTTAGGCTTATTTTATTCAGTGGAGTAGACTTGTTATACAGTATCTAGTATTCAGATTAATGCAAAAAATTTCAAACTGCATTTTACTGATGCTGAATAACTGCATACTGGTAACAGGAAAATTGAATATGTACAGTATTTGAAGGCCTTGTGTTTTCAGAAAGTTTGTGTTTATCCACATCTACTACACCACTAAGTAAAATGCTTACAAGTGTGAAAATGTTCCTATTGTTCATACATATAAGGGAGAGGGGAGCAGACTGATGATTTCAAAGGGCAGTAACAAAAGACCTTCAGTGTTGGGCTGACATCAAGTCACTTCCAAATATTCACATCTCCACCACTTATAAGACAGTAAATCAGTACTTTAGGTGTGAAGTCACTTGTGAGCAAACAGTAAATTGACTGATCTCACTGCCCCAATGAGAGAAGAACAGATGTCCTTCAGGCTAATTAGGAGATTAAAACAATGGCTGGTATAAAACAATTATTCCAATTGATCAGCACTCAATAGTTACTTTTAAATAAAGTACTGTAATTGCATGCTCAGAAGCCAAGTTCTTAGTGACCTTTAAACAACTGAAATCAATGAGGCATATTCCTTAGTTTGGTGGCATAATCCTCTAAAGACCTCTCTTAATGTTGATTTCTATTAGTGTGAAACAAATTCCCTTAGTAAACACTTAATATAGAAGCAGTGATAAAGAAATAATTCATTAATAATAAAAACAGTCCAGGGAATTCAATAATGAATTTCCCATTTTCTAAAAAACATCAGGGGCAACTGTCATTCAGGAATAGGAATTAGGGGTAGGGCCTCCACATGAGCAAGAGATAAAATGCCTTGCTTGGAGCACATGTTAGGCCCAATAGTCGTTGATTTAAATTTTGGTCATATCATAAGCTGTTTCTGACTGTTGCCTTCTCAAGGCGAAAAACAGCATGAGTAATATCAGAGAAGAATTCAGAAATTCTCCTACTTTTTGAACAACAACAATTGTCTTGTTGGGTGGGGACTTTTTATATGCTCTGTGAGAGAGCTGCATCAATCCTCCATCTGAAACTTAACGCTACTGTTTCTCTTGTTGGCTTGCATTGTGAAATAGAAGAGGATTCTTTTTCTTCTTACTGTAGCAGCTTTAGGAATAAAACCATTGTAAAAATCCCCATTTTTGAAGACATGAATCTGTCATCCTTATTCAGCTCATATTTCAGAAAATGTACATGCTTTCTCCTGTGCTGGTCAAGGGATACTGACTTCCTAAGGAAAGCCCCTGCACAGATATCAGCAGAACTGGATATTCTGACACTTGTATCATGATTGGTTTGACTGGGGATATCTCATGCTTACATGCTTTGATTTTCTGATAACTTTCTACAGAAATGTAAACAACTGATATGAATCTGCAGTACCTTTATGGTTAAGTTTCAGACAAGATTTTCTTATGTCCTACATTAGATTTCATGTATTTCATTGAAATAATAAGAAGCATTATTCTATAAAAATGTGTTAGTGAGTGTGTTAGTCTTGTAAAAATGTAATCTTGCAATATCATCTTTTACAATGTCACAAGGGAGAAAAGGAGTTGTATAATATTTTAAAATATAAGATTGAAAACACAAACCTTTAGCTCATAAATGTGCTTTTGTCACACAGATACAATTTGCTTTGACTTATAGGAAAGAAAATCAAAGTGTTAATCAAACTATTCAATGCTGACTTCATATACAGGTGGTGAGCGTAGTGCAGTCAATCATGAATACATCCTATCATAAATGTGGACTGTGTAGGATAGTGATGTTAAAAATATCTCAAATAACTTCCTAGGTATTAGATTTTGAAACTATATGTTTTTGTTTCATTTATCCCTTATTTTGGCACCTCACTAATCAGATCTGTACTATGTTGGTTTGCTTATTATATTACAATCAAATTCAGAGCACAACTGACTTTTCATTTGTTTAGCAAGTGGAGAAATATTTACCTTGACAGCCATCTCATTGTAGAAATTCATCTTCATAATAAAATATGCTGTCTGAGAATCAAAAGAGAAAACAGAGAAGATACCATTACATTTCAGTTACATATATCCAAGCTTTCCGATATCTCACATATGAAAGTTAAGTCTTTTTATACATAATACATAATTAATCTTAGAAGCAAAAGAGAGAAAAAAGTAAGGGGAAGTCAGACATTCCATTGAAGAGACAGGCTTCTTAATACATACTGTAATGCAGACTTGACCAAAAAAATCTATGGTAGTCAAGCTAGAAGCTAATGGAGATATATGATGGTAAAATGCTCTCCGCTGAGTTTGATAATCAATGGTGCTCCACTGAGAATAGACTAACAAAGGCAGGAATATTCACACAAACTGATGACATGCACTATTGTATGATTTATTCACTGGAGCACATTTCAGGAGAAACTTGTGAGAAACATAAAAGGAATTCATATTTCAAGATGTCTGGTTTAATAATAACAATAAGAAGAAGGAGAAAAAATCAAAGAGAGGGTACATTCTGTCTAAGCCCTACAAGGAACTGGAAGCTAGAATCTGATTAGAAATTGTGTCTTCTAACCATTTCTGCAATGTATTACATCCTTAGCTGCCTCCCAAGTGTGCTTTACAGTTTTGTTTTGTTTAATATTCAGTTTAACATTATATCATCATAAATAATTAGCATTATTTGACTTGCCAAACTCGATCCAAAGCAAATTGTTTGTGGAGAGCGGCGGGGATTGGATTATTTATCAACAATCTGTGCAATTAAGAAGCAGTTGGAGGCAATATGTTATTTACAAATGCAGTGAACAGCCTATTATGCATATCATATTTGCTGTACTGTGTTACATGAGTGGTTGTCATGAAAATCAAGAGTCTTTAGTACCATATGTCCGCATTTTAGAAAATAGGCCTGAATGAAATCTGAGAATTCAACACTATTGTCTGCATGGTTTAGTGAAATATAGTATTAGATATATGTAAAGTAATTTAACACTCTAATATATTTAAGATACTGTGAAATTTGGCAATAGAATCTAGTACAGTTTATCAAATGGTATATTTGTTACTGCAATACTTGCAAACTGATTCATGATAGGGTGCCAGATTTTTGTTTAAACATTGATAACATTTTTCCATAAGGTCCATGATAAATAATGAATCCCCTTTCAGCAATTTTTAAGGCTGAAGTTGAACACTTCTTTTTATTGAGCTTTGAATCTGTCTTAGAAATTTAGGTAATTGACATTCTAGCTGTGAAAATGGAAGATGGCTAAGTTTTACTGTTATGGTTGTATTATGGTTGTGTCAATGATACTTCATTCTAATTTGAAAGTCATTTCTAATTCTTGAAGTGTATGCATGGAAATTCATTTTTTTGTTCACAAAGGTCTGCTATAAATTGTAAGAAAATGTAAGATGTATTTTATCTTTCCCTGTTTAAACCAATCAATAAATCTAAAATCTAAATATAAATGAATATACAGTACTGTAATATAACTTTCAAAGTATGTTCAAAATTATTCTAGGTTTTGGTTTCATGTGTCATAAAAAACAGAATATTTTTAAATTCAAGTAGATTTACATTTTATACCACCTTCTTATGTTGCTTTTTTCATTAACAGTTTACATTATATAAACAGAGGGTCTTATATTCACAGTATTTGGACACTGAACTCCATATGGGTGGGAACTCATGAGGATTAATGTACATAATTGTTTTGAAAAAATGCTAAAGAATGATTTTTCTTGCATCTTTAATCATTTAAACCTCATCTAAACTATAAACATAAAGTGAACTTTCAAAGCTTTTGAGGCAGTGGAAAAAGTTCCCTTGGCATTTTCTAATAAATAACGTTGAGCAAACAAATTCCAATAAAAATGGTTAATTTAGGTAGAGTTAATATATTGTAGTTTAATCTCATCAGATCCAGGATGATAAGGGAGGCACGGCCTGGTTAACACAGGGATTGGAGATATTTACGGTAAACCAGGTTGTTGATGTAGGTGGTATTAGTGGACCAGTAGGTGGTACTCTTCGCTCTGGATCAGAATTTCCAAACCACTGTCACTGTATAGTGAACATTATGCTATAAGATGTACTATCCTTTGGGTGAGACATGAACTGCCAAAAAACATCCAAGTAGAGGATGAGTACTGTAGGTTCCTCACTATATGTATATCGCCTTGGAATGGAAAAAAGCATGGAATTGTGGTAAGGACTTAATCCCTATTGGGACCATTTCTATACCCTTTAGCAAGATACTTTACTCAGATTTCTCAGGTAAAAGTTTTACTACAGTAAATAAATACAACTGTGAATTATCATTGTAAGTGAAAGGATTGTGCTTTATAACATTAATGCTTGATACAGATATAATTATTTAAAAATGAGAATATTTTAAAAGACTGGAGAATTTGTATATCCATACAAATAATAAAAATATGTATTTTTTGCAAGAAACAATTAATCCCATCCTACAGATTTAAGAATACAACTCAAGGTTACATACTGTGATTATTTGATGTGTATTTTCAGTTGCATATTCAATAATAACATGAAACTTATCATTATTTTCACTCATTTATAATGTCCTCTGTATGTCGTTGGATGTAGGCAATGAATAACCCCATATGAATAATGATTAACTGTTAGTAACCCAAGCTATCGGGGTCTTTGTCCACATGTTTTCTGTTATAAATACATTTAAATTGTATTAAACAAATAACAAAGGTTTAAAGTCTAGTTGTTAATTTATATACAACGCCTATAAGGACAATACTCTTTCAGATTTTTCTGAATTCTGTCCGTTAATATTTGCATTTTAAGACAAACATTTTATCCTGGCAACCTCAGCATTTTTTATTGGCTATAAAAAGTCACTTCTTGTGAATGAAGCTTGATCAAGAGAAAACATGATTTGCAGTTACCTTAAAAAGCAAAAAACATATGGATGTACAGCCAAAGCATATGGGTGAAAAGGCAAAGTTCATATATTTCCATATGCTGCAGTGTCTGCATGAACTGCTGCCTTAGTTCACTAATTTACAAGCAGATATAAAATCACCAAGGTCAAACTGAAACAATCAGCTAGCCATGAATGACACTCTGCCAGTTTGAACAATCTGTGTTACTCCAGATTGTATTTCAGAACACAAAGATGCTGATAGAAGAGAAAGGTAGAACGAAGGTAGAGAAATCATAAAACTGGCTGAACAGTCCAAGACTAGAAAGTTTTTATTTTTAATTTTATTGGCAATGAAACTAAGGTTTTTCCCGCTGTTCACATCCTTATCCAATTTCTATTGAATTAATCTCACCACACTTTGAAAAAATTTAACTCTACATTCTGTATTCAGGCTGCAGTAACCGACAACACCGACCAATGATTTTATAACCACGGCCACTGCAGTGTTATTGTTGCTGCTGGAAATAAATCTAAGCTGGCTTTAGGATCATCAAGGGAGGGCCGTTCAATTGACAGATGAAAAGGTGGCCTAAAGAAATTTAGCTAGTAGTAAAAACCAGCTATTTCAAAGTGGCTTTTTGAGTTGCATTTGTTACTGTAAATAAATGACTCCAAAGACACTCAGTATTTTTGCTGGGAATAATAATTAATCTAAATGATGAAAATTATCAACATTAGAATATTACTGACTTAATTACTTTAATGACTTAAAAACCAACTTAATGTGCATGCTTATTGTCTGTGATTAGTGATCTGATACAATATATTTTTCTTCATAACTTCTTTAAATTAAAAGAGCATTTCAATATTCTATATTATTCAAAATTGAATTTGAATATTATTTATTTTTTTGTTAATTGATATTAAGACTGTGTCATATTATTGCTAATAATTTGAATTTGTAGCAGCAATGTAAATGTTGTTAAAACTAAAATGACTAAAGAAACATTTAAGTGTGACTTGAGATCACAAATACCAATGTGAAGGTTATTACAATGTAGTGCAGGTATCTGTTACCAGGGTCACGTGACTCCAAGAGCACATTTTGTATTATTGCCGCTGCAACTCAACTGTTAACAAAATCATTTCACATAAACAAAATGACTGTCACTAAACAAGATATTCTCTTTGTTTTTCATGTATAAATTAATTTCCTTCATAGCTGTTTTTTCTATAAAGGTTCTTTAGTCAGCTTTCCTCTGAGTTTAGCTTTTTAATCTACATTTTCAAAGGTAAGCGGGAAATAATGCTTTTCATCCATTTATAAGTAGATTGTGATAAACAGTACTTTACATAAAGGAAATCTCAATTTACTGATATTCAGTTCTATTTATATTACCTCTGATCACACATTTCTGAAATAATACGGATTCCTGAAACACGATTATTGTTTTTAGCATGTCCAATTTCTTCTGTTATTGTAATTAGTATTATTTCCAATGATACTACTATTCATTTTATATTTATATAATACATGTAATCTCAAAGGATCCCAAAGTGCTTTACATATACATAAAGTGACTAAAATGCAGTACCCAACTGCATACTGTGCCCTTGTATCCTTACCCATATACAACTTCAATTGCATCAGCAGTTGAAGTAATGGGGACCTTTAGGAAAATCAGAACAAACCAAGAGTGGAATTTAGAGATTAGCACCCATACATTTTCATAAAAGAAGCTATTGGACTTTTAAAGAAACAGTAGTCTAGACCATTGTTTGATGTCTCATCTGAAGGATGTTGCTTCCTTAGCACACAATGTTCCCTGACACCATACTGGGGTGTTGATCTGGACATTTGTGTCCAGATGGAATACTGCCCTACCAGCCCTGCCTCATTTTTCCTTCTTTTTTCGTCTCACATCCGAGTATGTAAGAGGCTTAGCCTTGCTTAACTTCAGAGATCTGAAGATATCAGGCTACAAGGTGGTTATGCTACTGATAAATATTCTTTAGAGCTCATTAGCCACTATGCTCTCTCTAGTGTAGATACAAATGCAGAGAAAGAGTATTTATAATTTTAGATTTTGTTACATCTACCTGTCTGTGATCTCTGTTATCATCACAAATACCTTTGTTGGGACACCTTTTTCTTTTTATTAAGTATGATACACCTTAAAGGTTTAAGAGTCTGTTTTTAAGTCTTCTTAAGCTCTACTTGTCATCAGAAGCATACTCAATAATTATGACAATAATAGCAATACTAGGACCTACCAAAAAATATCTCCAAGGGACTAGCCCCATTTTGAACCCTATGTTTCCAGGATAGGATTTTTTCAGTCAATTAGCATTCTATTGTCTCATTTTTCTTATACTGTACTTGTCTGAAGCATGGGTAACTTTCAACATCTAGACTGCTTATTGTAGATGTACTAATACTGTGGAAGTCAATAACAAAATTTTCATGAGGTTTATCTTTCCTCTGCATATATTGAAGAGAATACTGTAAATGACAGATACTATTAGTGTGTAAGATGAGAAAATGTCAAAGTCAAAGTTGAAAACCAGTTGCACCCATTCAATGTTTGTGTGGTGGACCTTTAGTACAAGTACAAGGAAATATAGACATCCAGCCTTACCTTTATCATCTGTCTGTATAGCATTCTTGCAGTATAGCCTCTCCATATTTTCTGAATAATAGTTGCCTTTCTGTTCAGATGCCTGAAAAAGTACAGATTTCAATACTCATCAATATAATTTTATTTTTAAAACAAAGAGACTGTGTAACAGTAATAATAAAAATAACAATGCAATGACAATCTTATGATTATTATGATTTATGAAATTATGGTTATTAATTTTGAAATCAAGCGATTTTGTCTGCGTGTGATATTGCATTTTTGTGTTGTTTTGTGTTATTTAAATAGATTTCAGTAGTTCGGACAAATCCTGATTAAAACACAATTCAATTAGAAAGCTTTATTTGTGTAACTTGCCTGGGTGAGGTGAACAACAACATGTCCGTAAGGATGCTTAAGGGTGGGGCTATCAACCCTTAGTTTTCATTTTAATTAGGGATGAGCCAGGGAGCTGCTACAAGGTCAAAGATTGGGTTGAGGACATGATGTGCAAATGAAATACGCAAGTAGACTGGAAACATTCTATTAATACGTACTGTATGTAGGTAGAACTGACATTAGGGTTTGAGCACCTCTCCTCCCTAACTTTTGTTTAAAACACCATTTGAGATTTTGACTTACAGTACACCATAAACCCGTTATTTTGCATAGTTATGTTGGTTATTGTTCATGTCATCATATTTCTTATATTAAATAATGTTAGGGTGGCAGCTTCAGAGTCTTGTGGTACACTGATTTTCTTTACCCTCCCAAAGAGATGCTGGTTAGCTTGGATTGATTATTCTAAATTCTCCCTTTCTCCTAGCACTCTGTCCAAGGGGACAAGCATTCATGTGCTTTTAGGGATAACCTGCATTGTGCTCTATGCTTTCCACAAAGGGTCCATCTTGCAACAATCCTCACTAGAACTCACTTTCTGAATCCCCACTTTCTGATCCTGGATGAGCACATGGAGTTTTGTCCATGCACCAACAATGTAAGTGTTTGAAAAACTGTCAATAATAATTGGAAATTAATGTGTGGTAATCCTTTTGGATAGATGTCAAGTATGTGTTGAATATCAACACTATAGAGAACTAAAGTCATTGGTGTTACATAATTTTTTTTAAATCCTTTATTTAGCAAGTGAATTAAAAACAAATTTACATTTGCATTAACAACCCAGAAAGAGCCTGTTTATACAGAGCGTAAGTGTTTTGTTGACACAACCGACTATACAGAACAGGACAGAGACTGATATATGTGGAAGCAATTATATTTTGGAGCTGATAAAATATTTTGAAATACAGTATTATGTATTTCAAATTATATTCTAGGGATAACTGTCCTTCAGTTTTTGGAACTATACAGTACCTCACTCCTTGATAAGACGTGAGCATATACTGTAGCATGTTTAGTATATATACATTTCTACATCCAATTATGACAATTGTCTATGCACATGTATGTACTGTATCTGCATGTTGAGCTTTCTGTTACATTTTTGTATGGCTTGTGAGTTTTTATTACACTAACCTTGCTACAAAAAAAAAAATCAATCAATTACACTAAAAAAATAGTCTTGAAGCCCGGAAAATGGTAACCTAGGAGCAGCACTTAAGGGTCTCAAATTATGCTTAATTAACCACTTAACACATAAATCAATTAACTAAAATCATCTAGATTAACCTACAGCCTGGAAGTAGGTCTGACCCTACAATATGAATCTGAGAAGAGTACAAGCAGCACTTTCCATCAAGTGATGCAGCAGGCCTTTTTCCTTGTTTTATTTTCAGGAATTATTTTTACATTTGCAAACAGTAGGTCCTACAATTATATAGCTGGATCAGAAAGATACAAATGTAGATTCATGTTAAAAAGATGCATAATTATATAATATTGGGTTTTAGAATGTGCTGTATTGCATTTAGGTCTTAATTGAAGTGTGGTTTAATTACAATAATTGCAACCCAGGTTTTGTTACTAGAGTATTTCTAAAATTCTATGATCTGATTTAAATAAGGAAACCAGTCTGAAAGGAAAGATTAAAAGGTCAGGTGAAATAAGAGCCTTGTACATTTAGCAAAATGAAAGTCTGAAAGTAATAGGAAGGCTTAAATAATGTTTCAAAGCTGTTTCATCTTGTAATAATCTGTATAGGTTTGTAAAATGTTCCGTAGTGAATTGCCCTATACTCTGCTCTTTATGTATGTAAACGAGCTTCATACTGGAGGTTGAAAGTGAAGCAGAACAATACAATGAGACTACAAACTAAAACAGGCTACAGTACATGCACATAGATAATTTAAACAATTCAAATTTGAAGGAATTTAGTACATAGTATATACAGTATATACTCTTATATATACTTGTATGGTATCTGTGTTGTTCATAATTAAATTCCGAAATACAAAGTTAAAAAATAGTAAATTGAATCAAAAGTTTGCATGTTTTCTTGTTCTTACATTTGGCAAAAATTTAAAAAGGATCACTGACAAGCTAGGATTTGAAAAAAAGTATTGCATGAATTGCTTTCATTGCTTCACGACATTACACTTCTGAAGTGTGACTTCAAAGGGTTACTGTATGCATGATTCTCAGCCTTTGGGTAGACCACAATAATAATATAATAACACACTATACACAATACAATGATTCACAATAATAAAATGCAGGACTCTACAATTTATTGATATGCACTATTGATGGGTACAAGGTCAAGAATTTCCTCACGTGATGTCAAATCACTTGCAACACATCTTAGAACCATTCGGACAAAGCTTAAAATGCAGTAATGCTTAAATTCCCTGGACAATGAAAAGAAGAGTCTGACCAATGTTTTTGGCCACAGATACAGTACTATATTGATATATAACCATATAATGATTGTCAATACAGGTACCCTTTCGAAAATAAAATATTTTCAATATTTACTGAGCATTGTCGAGTCCCTATATACTGACAATAAGCTCAGTGATCCTATTTGGAAACAAGTGAAGCAAGGACTACAAGACAAATAGAGGCATCACTGTGCTTAGCCATGTTGGGAAGGGGTGTGAACAATTTCTGGAGCGTTTTGAAACACAGTGTTAGAAAGTTAAGAGAGTACACTGGTGTAATATTTGAACTCTTTGCATTTGAACCGCTTTGTAAAAACAAGCAGGCTTCTTTTGAGAACATTTAAACATTTTCTAATGAATACAAATATTATAATTCTTCTTTTAACAGGTCTATTATTACTCTTAATTTATTTTTTTTATATTTAATTGAAACAATAGTGTTATAAGATAGAGAGGGTAGGGGTGGTGTATTAAAAGTAAAAATGTAATCACTCACTAAAATCAATTTTAAGATATCAATCAAGATATGTAAAACTACTATTATAGATTACTTAGAAAAAATGATGAGACCCTACACCCAGCCTTGCTATAGTCCAAAGCTAACTTCACTCTTCCACTAAAACAGACTTTGCAGTTTAGCTAAGTTTAATGCTGGTTTTGAATCTCTTTTTAAATATAATCTTATAGTGGGACTTAAAAGGAAAACACACCTGTTAGTGGTCCCTATTGATCAGAATAATCTACATAAAAAAATCTCCATAAACTCTCTTGGATGACTAGATCTCCATAAACTCTCCCGGATGACTAGTGCTTGTATTGTTTAATTGCAGAAGAATGGCAATTTTACACTTACCACTTTGGAAAAAATCAATTAATTTAGCAAAATACTGTAAGGAATGCATCCAGCAAACAGACCTAAAACAGCATTTAATAATGCACACAATGTTTTCTGAAAAATTATACAGTACATTGCTGAAGAATACATTCTCCCACAAGTTAACTATCTCGGCATTGAACCCATACAGCCAGTTCAAAAAGGAGCAATAACTTGATCTCCACAACATGATTTGAATTTTAATTTGATTTGATTTGACTCAGTCACTGAGCCTCAATAAGCAGAACAAGACAAAATAGAGTGAAAATACATGCCACATAAATACACGCAGGCATTAACATTTATCCAAACAAGCTTTTAATGTTCACGAAGATAGAACTTCTATCTATACAGATATGTAACAAAGTGTGTCACTTACATTATTGAGAAACTACTCAAAAGCACAACTCCAAGGCAATACCAACCCCAAAAAAGCTACAAAGAAAACTATAATTTTCATATATTACTTCAATCGATGGATATGAACATTTTACAATTTGCTTGATAATTTGATTTCTTTGTTCTGACCATTTTTTCCACATACAGTATAGAAAATCTTCATATGCTGTTAATTATTGGCTCTTGCTCAGTCTTTTCAAAGATTGACAAACTGATGAAGTACAAGTCCTCTGCAGGGGATTAGATCCTACTCTTATGTTTCTTGTTTAAACTGTAGAGGGAGTACTTTCAAAACAAATGCAAGTAAGGGATCTACTAGGACTTAACCAGATATCTTTTAAGAGTGAAGTACAGGAATTTGTTATCATGTAACAATCAAATAGACAATATCATGACTATGATTTGTGGAACACTAATGAGAACTGCATTAAATTTGAGTACCCATTCTCGTGGTGAAGGGATGTCAAATTTAATTACAAACAAAAACAATATGACATTCTAGCTGTATCAATGATAACCATTTTTTTTCTGTCTCTCGAAAGCTATCGGAACCACTATTCAATGAAAATTGCCTCTGGGAGTATTGGGAAATACAAAGCAAGGTCCGTGAGGATTGCAATTTTCTTTTAATTTCCCATTTATTTTCATTTAAGACATTTTAAAGATTTAAAAATATCTGGAAAAAAGGTCAAGTATGCATTAAGTTTTATAAAGAAAACACTTTGATACTGCATGTCAAATTTTAAATCTTTAAATATAATCAACGGATATTTTTGCTGGGAGCACTTGGCTCTTTCAGATGTTTTCTCTCTTCTCTTTTCAGCATGGAATAAACCTATTACTTGTTCCTTTGCAGCCTACTCATGTTGACGCAGCTACCCACATTAATTAAAATAGTTTGTAAAGTGACTGACTGAAACTCCATGCAATGCTAAATGTTTACAGGAGCTTGTTCTCCCATTACAAAATGAACTCTAGCACCTAAATCCTGGGGAAGTAATGAGTAATTATTAAGGCTTCAGCACCATATTAATAAGAATATTTAAGTGACTTAAGTGAGTTTTAAGAGGATTACTAAAGTGAGACACTTAAAAAATTATGTACATATTTACTAAAATACTTACTACATAATTTACTGTTCTAATTTTAGTGAGCTTTTTTAAATGTTTGTCTTTAACATAACGCCATGGTTCCGTCCTAAAAGTTTTTTTCTTTATGAACTTTAATAATAAACACTTATTATGAAATAAAAAACCCATAAATGATCAATACAATTTCTAAGAATTTAATTTTTAATACAGTTAATTCAGTTATAAACTGGTATTTGTTGCTGGGCAATTAGGCTCAAATGAAAGAGCTTTGAACATTCTGTCAACTGAAGCTCAAGTTGAAAACTAAAAAGTTCTCTGTTAAAGAAAAGCTGACAATTTTGAAGCAGAAATAAAACAAAATCTCAATGAGAACCATCAGCACAGAAACCAGATACACCAAAATCAACAATTTTGAAAAATAAAAAATAAATAAAAAGAAAACAGAACAGATTAATAAAGAAAATATCTACAGGTGATGACAGAAAAATTATCAGAGTTCTTTAGAAATAAAACCCTAAAACTAATGTTGATGCAATCGCCATCACCTACAGAGTCCAGATACTGGATCAAAAGTTTGCAGAAGACAGCTGTTTTATAAAGCCTACTCTGAAGGACATAAAGCTCTTGTCAGTACCAAAAAAGAAAAGCCAGATTAGAATTTGCTAGGAAGTCCGAAGAGGAGTTGAGTTATGTTTTATGGAGTGAGGAGACCTAGATGAACCTTTATCAAAGTGATGGAAAAGTTGAAGTATGGAGAAAGAAAGGAGGCTCAAAACTGTAACAAAGATAGGGGATAACAAAATTAGCACAAAGAAACACAAGGGATTAGAATTGTAGTAGAAGATGCAAGGAGCAGACACAGACACCAATCACATCACATCTTTTTGAAGAAAAATGTTCTGAGTCTGGAATTGAAAGCTCTCAGGGTATGCAACACTCTGGTATCCTTGGGGACAGAATTCCAGAGCTCTGGGGCACAACAAGAAAAGGCCTTGTCACCCAGAAAGTGTAAGTGAGCTTGGGGGACAAACAGGAGACCAGAATCAGATGACCAAAGGTTGCAATGTGGGGAGCTGGAAGGTAATAAATCAGATAGGCACTGAGGTGCTAAGCCATCTAGAGCCTTATACATGAGCACGCACATTTTAAAGTCGACACAAAACCTTGTAGGAAGCCAGTACAAAGACTCCAGTACAGGAGTACTATAATGTGATCACTTGATTATCATTGATTGCGACTGTTGAATTCTGGACATACTTACAGTAAAGAAACAAGTAATTAGGTTTATTCCATGCTGAAAAGAGAAGAAGGGAAACACAATATTTCAATTGTGGAGCCTTCTTCAGGTGTATACTTAGAGTACGTTTGTTTAGAGTGGATTTAGATACCCCAGTGAGAAGATAGAGTTCTGAAGTTTCCAGAAATATTTTGTTTGTCTATGTAAAAAATGATTTTATATTTAAATGTCCTTTTGTTTTATGTTTAAGAAAAAGGCAAACATGCAGCATGACAATGACCAAAACATTTGGCCAATGCTACTAAAGAGGAGAAAAAAAAGTGGAAAACGTAACATTGGCAAAGTTAAATCCAGTTAAGCATGCATTTTACATAACAATAAAAAAGGCCTGGAGATCAGAACAACACAAGAATAGACAAGACGTTAGAGAGGTTGCAGAAAAGAGTTAGCAAAGCAAGTTACAGGAAAAGTTTGGTGAGCTCAATGGGTGGCAGTTTTAGCCTGAACATACTGTATGACCTATACTGTACATTGACACTCTGAAATGAACTTAAAGAATGAATGTTCTCCATACTTATAGTCAATTGAAATCACTGGGTAGAACAAAAAGTATGATGTCATTAAATATATGCATAGAAATACTAAAACAAAATACATTTTCTTGAATTTTTTTGTTCCTATTAACCTTGAGTTCACAAATACACATTTCTTGACTGTAAACAAAAAGTTAGATTTTTCTGTTCGAACATACAGTTGTATGTTTCACTTACATATTATTCTATAATTTGACTAATATTATAGTCAAATGCTAGGATACCACAGAACAAATTTTTAAATTATATGAGAATGGAAGATTTGTCTTATAGATATATTGTATACATATTTCTGTATAAGCATCTAAGTAGGTCGAGTTATTGTGAGTTTGAATTTACTTAATTTCAGTAAACAGCTATTTCAATTGAAGTTGAGATGTAATTGAAATTTACCAAATTTGAAAGGGAATTCTATGAATAAGAACACTGACACTTTGGTTTCTGTTTCTTACACTGTTAGTATCTAGGTTGTCTAGATGCTACTAAAAGTTTGGCAAATTAGTAGTGATTTATGAAAATTATTATTCATTACGATGTAAAGAACCATTTAAAGAACTCAAATGTCATTTGAGAAATATATTTAAAGCTTAGTTTTAATAGTTTAAAATGTTGTTACTGTACATGTGGTATGGTTGCTTTTCATTGTGAGAGGAATAGCAACATATAAAAAACAATTTTTCATTGTTAGTTTTGATCAGACTTCAGATTATGTATTTAGAGATCCTTAAATGTCAGGAAATATAGACTGTGACAAACAGGCCATGCTTTTAAATAGTTCTAAATAAGGAGCAATTTTAAGTGTTTTGATTTTTCCATTGGACAAGTTAACAAACATAAAAATAAGCTAATATAAATGGCACATCCAAGTCTCTTAGTAGTTCTTACTTGCTCTGTTCCTATTTAGAACATATTTTTGGATTCTCCATTATCATTTACACTCATCTAATGTCAAAGTTGAGTTGAGTTGTATTGGGTTTTGAATGCCTCATGAGCAAAACACTCCTAGTGGTGTTAATGAATTATTTGTGTTTGTAAAACAGTTCTGAAACCAAGTATGGCAAGTTTATTACTTTTTATAATAAATGACTAAGGTATGTCTTATTATATGTATGATACAGTATGTACTTGCATGAGATTTAAAAATGACACACATATTTAACACATTTATTCACTAAAATATAATTGTCACACTGGTAAATATATTAAGAACACCCAGGCTAACGAATATACCCTCAGTAGTGAGCAGTCCATGGTTGGCATGAGCAGCACAAAACAGACATCCATCACTTACCACACCTACAACAATCCAGTTGAAAACAAGTGGAATTTATGGAATTTGTAGTCCCATCATTATCTTCATCACGAACTCAGACGAAGGTGACTATACTAAGTTAGTGCAGCAATTATTGCAAAACCTTGTGGAATACTTGGAACATACTTTTAAAATGATCATTGCTGTACAGAAGGCCAAATGTTAGTTAATAACACATCTTCTGGAGTTACAATACATTGTTCTCATCATTCTGGTTACCTAGCTACAATGATGCATCAGTACAGTTTCAAAAACTCTTCTACCAAGCTGAAGTCTGTTTATGCTGACATCACACAGACACTGTTGTTTCACAGACTGTGATCAGCAGTATTATTGGAGAACCTAACATTATATCAAGTAAACAAGTTACCTGAATAGTTACCAACTATTTTGGTCTGTGAAACTAGCCCCTCATGTGTATATGTTGTTTGTTTTAGCATAGTTACACCTTACTAATTGTAAGACCAGATTGCTGTACTGATGTTTTTTGAAGCCATGAGGCACTGCATTTGCATTCCTACTGTTTTAGAAGAATCTTTATGTTTTTTAAAAGGATTCTTCTCTTGGATAAAACAAAACATTACCTAAGATAGGCTCGAACTCTGCACCCTCTGAACCAGCTCTGTATTTGAACAGCAGCGCTGTTTTCTTTTCCTCGGTTTTCTTCTGCAATCCTGAAATACAGCATTAAAAAAACTTAATGGAAGTTCCAAAACTTTGTCACAATACTCCTTGGAGACAGATTCCCTTTATAATATCCACAACGTACTTTGATGTGCCCACAAACATCTCAAAGTACTACTGAAGTTTTAGGCTATAACTTTTGTTATAGACAGGTATGACTATTACATCATACTACAGTATTACATCATACTTGACAGAAAAGGGTTCCTGGACCTGAGAACCAGAGTTGTGCAGAGTTGTAAAATGTATTCATTTTGATAAACGAGATAAACATTGTTTTGTAGTGTATTTAAAATGCAGATCTATCTGCGATATCAGCAGTACAATATGTGTAATATTCATTACATTTACACTGATAGTTGATTAATTGCTGGTTATCTTTTTAACAGCTTCATTATGGTAATTTACTGGAGCGGCTAAATTAATAAATGCAATACATAACTATCTCCTTGTAATATTGACGTTAGATACAATAGATATTTTTTCTGATGTCTTTTTAAGTCTGTAATTTACCTGTGTCTGTTAAAATATTCTTCCTTTAGACCCTCTATCCTTCTCTCTAGCTTCAACAGTTTAGCCATGTTTCTGATAGTTTACACTCGTTTCTGTGGAAACGAGAATAAACTACCAAAGTAAAAGGTAGGGGAGAGTACAAAATATAATGTAGAAAACATTCCACACGATATAAACTAAAACTACATTAAAGTATTTTCAAATAAAATTTATATAATATTAAATTCATTATCATCTAAAATAAGGAATTATATTTCTTCTGATATCTATTTTCATTTGCGTACGTGTGGTACGGTCCCACATCCTGTTTCGTAGCTCGTTTCCCGTGCACTTTTTGAACCATCATGGTGGTTCACCTAAACGTGTCAAGTTTGATTTCACTTGTGAATAACTAGTCTCCGGAGCTTTTAATGTTCCGTGCAGCCAACTCAAGGAGCCTCGGTCAAGTGGAAACCAGCTGGTGAGTTATGATTTTAATTTGGAAACATTAAACACAGAACAGTTGTCAGCTTTATGTTAAGATCACCTTTGCCGGTGCCTGTGTTGTCACAACTCACTTGTTCCATAACACTTACTACCAGTCACAGCTTCGGTGACAAAAATGCAGATTAATCTAGGCCTAGGCTGTTTTGACATCTTCTCTTTGCTTAGTTCGTAGATTAGTCTGAAAATCTACAATGAACAGTTATGATTCCAAACTTGAAGATCTCATTTCTTTGCAAAAGTTCACGTGGCAATTGAAACAGAGATTTAATATTCCAAATTCTGTTAGATACAAAAACCGTAGGTTGATGAAGATAGTATTGGTGTTTAACGTAAAATTCCTTTCTTGTTTAATTTCAATCGTATTTTAATTTCTAAAAATATTCAAGATTGACATACACCCCCTCCCGGGAACACGATTTTAAAAAATTGAACATCCTATCAATATGCAATTGTTATACAATTTCTAAAATAAAAGAGGTTCATCTTTTGGTAATGGATTTAATAATAAGCTTCTGCACAGTGCAATTACACTGGTCACGGTGTGCTATTGGCAGGGAAATTTAATTTAGAGGTATATGTAAGCTTGTATTTTGGACCTATGAGGGAACACTAAAAAACCTTAACCCAATACAATAAAACCTGCGCAAATGAAATAAATTCAGTTGAAGAAATATGCAAAGCTATTTCGTTTTTTATCTCTGTTTTATTTTAATACTTGAGAATTAGATCTTGGTATATCATTCTTTTGTCATCGCTTGAACTCTTAAGCCCTTGCTATGTAAACGGCACGAATAAGAACCGAGATGTTGCATTCAGACATGCCTCGGAGACAGTGTGTTCACAAGGCTAGCGCCCAAGGTAATGGTACAATTCGCCAAACTAAGTGCTCATGAGTTTTTTTTTTTTAATTCCTGATTTGTGTAATATTGTAAATAATATATGGTTTAGTTACAAGAAAAGACTCCAGTTGACAAGGCCCTTTAAAGGCAGAGTCTGACTACCTAAAATAGTTATTAAACAGAAAATTATGAATTACAGCTTCAGTGCATTTTGAACATTTTGGTTATAATCACTAGAATCAATTGAAAACAATCATAATTTAAGAACGTTTAGCTTGAAACCTTGTGTGTTTGTGTAGTTTATTTCGACTAAAGTTTTAAAGGACATTCATTAGCTAGTCAGTATTTGCAGAAAAGTACCTTCCAAAAATATCCCCTCCTTGTATTATCGCCAAAGCATTCAAAAATTGTCCCTTGAATAACAAATGCAGAAATTGCATGTTATGGAGGAAATAGTTCTGAAAATCATGTTTTTGTCAGATTAGCCATCCTCACATAAAAGTCAGCAAGAAACTGCATTAGACATTGAAAGTCAAAACAAGCACCTTATTATACTGGAGCTAAGGGAAGAAGTGTGGGAATATGGAACAATTCCACCTTGCCGTGTTGTTCAAGTTGAAACCCTGATATCCCTCATGGAATGGCTAGGTAAGATCCTTGGATCAATTAACTCATAACTACCAACCAGGCCAGATAGGCGAATGATCTAGCGTTGTTTGAAAATGTTTCTTAAAATTCACTGGTGTTAACGGTGGTGTGCGGCCAAAATTTACTTTGCAAAATTAAGTTTTTAAAGTGCTTTCAGGATGTTAAAGTATCTATGTAGCTTTACTGTATATGCGTTCTTTAATGCTTATCACATTAAAGGCAACTTGACAGTTGATGATATAGTTCAGGTGGGTAGCTGCGTCAGCATGCGTAGGCTGCAAAGGAACGAGTAATAGGTTTATTCCATGCTGAAAAAAAGAAGAAAGAAAACACAACATTTCGGCCGTGGAGCCTTCTTCAGGTGTGAGAGAGACAGGGCAGTAGGCAAAGGTAAAGTAGCGGGAGAACAAAGGCCTCTCTTTCTGTCCCCTGCTCCTGCCTCTCACTCCTCCTCCCTCCCAACCTTTGTTCTCCCAATACTTTACCTTTGCCTACTGCCCTGCCTCTCTCACACCTGAAGAAGGCTCCACGGCCGAAATGTTGTGTTCTCTTTCTTCTTTTTTTCAGCATGGAATAAACCTATTACTTGTTCCTTTGCAGTTGATGATATAGCCTGCTTAAAACACCTTCCGACTCAAGCTCACCTGCTGGCTCCAGCTAATGATATCACACCAGGCCAATCTGACACATCACCTGCTGCTTTCATGTCAGTGTCATAATGGGGAACTTCCAGTTGCGAGAAAACGCTATTGCATCTTGACTGCTGCCTTTTCTCCATCATGCTTTTTATTTTTTTAGACCCATCCCTTAGATCCTAATCTAGGTATAATTTCAGTATGCAAAGTTACATCCTTATGAGTGCCATGTTTTTAACAAAGAGGATCTCAGTCTCTGCTGGTAGGTCTGGTGTACTATCCTCATGTTCCTTCAGCTAGGTTTCTACAAGAACTTTTATGGGTCTTTATTTTGCTTTGTCCAAGTATTTTACTTAGTCATTTCAATAAGCATTTGCATTGTACTTTTGGATGACCCTTGTTATGGGTTTGCATAGTATGTCAACTTCCTGGCACATAAGCATGGAGCTATATTAAATGATGTCCTGACTTTTTCTTAAGACGTGGTACAGTAGAGTGTCCCATATTGTATTAATCCCAAAATCAATTGCATTTAGCAATAAAACATAATTTGATCTTGATAAATGATTGATGTTTCCAAAACACATATTGTTTATATGGGAAAATAAAAGTTCAGCATTGCTATGTGAAAATAAATTAGACCTATTCACATTTTCTTAGTTATTTTACAATAGCATAATAACAACAGTCTGTTCTAATGACATTGAGTGATGAAAGCTGTTGCATTGAGCAACTGTGAAGTGTACTAAGTGTGAGGCAATGTATACTTTGTTAACACAGTAAACATATCACACATGTATCAAGCTTGTGTTTTGAATGCTGACTTTCAAAAAATATTTTATGAAGAAAAATACTTATGTTGCTGATAGATTAAGTAATATATTGGACATGTGGGGGACACTTTCCTTCTCTTGTGATGGCCATATTGCTCAGTATTTTGGACAAAAAAACACTCACTAAATAGTGTGTTTCCCAGGTTTTTCATAATGTTTTGTAAAGGACAGACGCAGAGAATGCTCATGTACATATTTGTTTACCATGCAGTGCACCACAATTCAGGCAATTTCAAATCTAAGGATTGCATATTGCAGTTAATTAAAATTCTCCTGTAGTATTACCAGTTTAACTTTTTGTCCACTTGGATAAAATATGATGCATTGGCACCACCGTGAATGGAAGAACAACTACACGTTATAGAGGAGCTTTCGTTTATCAGATTTTGCACAGGTCTATCAAGCACACAGAGCAAAAGCATTTTCTGATTCCGGTATATTATTTTCTTTCAACTAGCATGGTAAAAATTAAAATTAGATTTCTCTATCAGGCAAAACATCTGACTTGCAATGTGGATTTCTTCAGCTGATAGAGAAAAATAATTTTAGTGAAAAGCTTGATGGACTTTGCGGGGGCAATATCAATTCAAGTTTCAGTGACGCTAAGCGAGTTGGAAAAACAGTGTCTGGTGGAAATTGCAAGTCACGCTATAGAAAGAGATATTTGATATTAGCTCTGCTGCTCACATTGTCATACCTGTCTACAGACAGCAGCCATTTTCTTCCAAGTTCTTTGCTGTGGAAGTTTAGTAATACTTTCATATTTATACTGCTTTTGCAAACAGCAGTTAAGAACTGTTTATGTATATGAAAATTAAATTTTATGTTATGATATTTGAAGATCATGAATGCCTGAATGTATCCAAAGAGTAGGGCTAGGGGAGAAACCTAAAATATTTTCTTTGTAACTTGCCGATTTTGCAACTTTTTGGGTATAAACAGTTTGAAGGTGCAGAGAACAAAATGCCCAAAAGGTGGGCATCTGTACTGAAATGAGAGACTGAAGCTAGAACAATTTTAGGTACATCACTGTGTCATTTTAAAACTGTGTCATTGTTTAGGACTGTATGTGGATGGTCTCATTATTTCTATTGCATATTATGACAAGCATTAGCATTTATGTTCCTCAGGTGATATACAGTGCCAACAAACCATAATAAGAGACTCTATATAAAAATCCACTTCATCCACTTGAAGGTTGTAGGGGAGCCAGAGCATATACCCAGCAAACAATGAGTTCAACGCAGGGTATGCCCTGGGTGGGACACTTGGCCTACACAGGGCAGATACACAGACACGCACACACTCAAACCTAGAAACCAATTAATATACCAGTATGTTTTTGGACTGTGGCAGGAAACCCATGCAAATACGGGGAGAACATACAAACCCCACGCAGATAGCACCCCAGGTCTATAACTGAACCCAAGGCCCCAGCTCTGTGAGGCAGCAATGCTTACCACTGTGCCACCCATCTAATAAAAAACACTGTCCAGTAATTTCAGTTTTTTATAGTTCTGTATACTGTTAAGTTTCAGTTTCATTTGAAAGATTTCATTAAAAAGATGCTGTTTGGAATGTTTCCGTAAAACTCTATTATATTGTAATACCTATCATCTTACCTTGCTCTAACTAAATGCATGGTATAGTGGGTTGTATTATAACACTGTCACCACTGATACATCTTCATATGGTTCTAAAATATGCTGTTTCATTTTTGTATGCTGTATATACAGCGATACCCAAATTAATTTTCTATGACTTAAATAGTGTATATTGGATTGGAAAAATCGCATAATATACACAAAAACTGCTTATAGTTTCAGAAACTGCTAACTAAAGGCGACAACAATTACTGCGGGACTATAAATTAATTTTGCTTTTTAGAGTGTGAAAGGCAATGATAAAAAAAAAAAAGATTTGGATCAGACCTCGAATAAAACACAAAATGGGAAGGAGAAAGTTCCAGACACTTAAACTGTTTTCCGGTGTATCTGTCCGTGGGTTTTTTTCAACTTCACAACGGTTGAAGTAGTAGAGCTGTCGCATCATTTTTTTCGAATACCTGCTGCTCGTATAATATCCATTCCTCTGACCTTCGTCCTCATTCTCTATTTTAAAACGGCTGATATCCCAGCAGAGCAGAAGTCCGCCCTTGTTCTGACTCTTTTCAAAGGGGGGTGGTAAGTCAACCCTGAATGTTATAGACATATATAATGCTATAGACATATATATCAATTTTACTTTGCCTTTTTAAGATGATAGAAAAAAGTTATTAACACGCAGTTAAGTTCTTTTTTAGATAGCAGCGATGTCATGTGATGTGTGTGAGGAGTTAGGCTTTGCTCTTCCCCTGCCAGGATTCAGTCACTGTCACTGGAAAGCAAAAAGCATCCACTGCACTACTCCCTTGACGGTGGCAAACTCTGTTATGCCAAAAGGCAGGGTCCTCCGCCTTAAAAGAATTCAACACTGCCTGCATTTCAAAGGGGTGATGTCACTTCTGTCACTTCTGTAAGCCCTGTTACAGATTCTTCCCCTCTAAACTCCTCCCTCTTCTCTTCTGCAACCTCAGCGACTGATAGACGTCAGGTTGTGAAATCCTAATCATGGCACAAAGGCCATAGTTGGAATTCTGCTCTGCCGCTGTCGGCATTTGGTCATGCTCTCCCTCATGTGCTCAAAGTATAGCATACAGCTCCCTAGACAGCAGCAAACTTCACAATGTTAAAAAAGTGAATTCTACATTATTTAGGTTTGAAGTGAATGACGGCACTTCTGTAACAAGTTCAGGGATACTGAGCCCTTTTAAATATGATGTTTGCTTGCCATTCCAGGTGTAGATGTGTTACAGCAGCCTGAAAGTGATATTATAAAAAATATACACTTGTGCATTATTTTTATAGTTTTACCCAAGGCTATTGATACTGTGGATCAATCCTTCTGAAAAGCTGTGCAGTATTGGGTTTGATATAGATACTGTATGTTCAGAATAACTTACAAAACTACAGTGTGTAAAATCTTAAAGGATTTGTTTGACAACTTCCTCCCAGGTAATAAGAGAGTCTTATAGGGTTCTATTCTTGGCCGTGCTCTGTTCTGCAGCACATAATCTTTTTCTTGCATTAGGCACCTTTACTGTTGACATAATCTCATATGCAGGTCAGTCAACTGGAATAAAGTTCCTTAGATTTTCTGTGAACTGCATCTCCTGTTAAATCTGCTAAAATTAGTTTATGCCATTCATTTAACATAAGGTTATCCTTTAAGAATCACAACATTTTTACGAAAGCAAAATTATAAGTATATATAAATATCAGTTTATGAATATCTAGACATTCAATATTTGCTTTTAAAAGTAAAACCTTTTAATACTTTTTATTTATAAATTATGAGATAAGATTATGTTGTTCTTTATTGCATCAAATCTTGTTTTACACATTCCTATAGACATACACAAGTTCAAATGTTTGTAGTCCTCATCTTCAGCTGTGGTGTTGTGCTTAACAGAATGGCCTTTAAAACTGCTCTTGGAAAACTTGATATCTTATACCACTTTACCTTACGATTTATCACTGGTGCCCCATATTGCACTTATTGTGACCTCTATTCTTTGATTAATTGGCCTTCTCTCTGCATACTAAATGAATGTTTCACTGTTTAAAATTAATTTTGAGATATTTAATTGTGAAGACACCATCCTGTCTCGATGTATTACTGTTCTCTGTACTTTCATACCATTTAAGATGTAGCACACTTATTAATCTGAGCCTCCCAAAAGCAACTACCAACTTTTGGTACCAGTGATTTCCTTTTGCTTCTGTCGTTACTAGAATAATCTGCAGCCTAACTGAAACTGTCCACCTTCATATCTAAGGGCGGTGTGACTTGTATAATTATTTTATGCCTGACACTTTGACTTGTTAACACTGCCTCGTCCTATTACATTACGCCCTGTTATGCTATTTTTTTATTGATTTTCCTTTTCTTCCTCTCCTGTACAATATTGGTGTAAGGCTCTTGGTTAGTTTGTTGTAAATGAGAGTCTGATATTGGCCAACTTATGTTGATTAAATAAAGAGTTGTAATGAAATAGAGAATTTTATTTTTTTATCTTAGCAGCTCCATAAACTAGAGTTTCTTGATTTGCGGAAAACCATTGAGATTTATTGCTAAAGCATAACACGTCAGAAAGAAAACTTTTAATCATGTGATTATTACATAGGGAAAATGTTTTTACTTTATGCAATAAAACTCCAGTCTAGTATAGCATAAAGACACTCTTTCCATTGCACAAGATCGTTTTCACAAGTATTAAGACACACATAACAGAGGAGCAGTGAGAGGTACAGACATAATTCAGTGTAAAAATTATTGCATACCCAAATACTTGAAATCAGTGTTCTATTTCATAGAATTGAAAAGCCAAAAAGCAATCAAGTAGTAGCTGGAATTTTGGGGTTGGTGAGTTCTGTTTTTTTTATTATTTGTGGTTTCAGGTGGCTGGTCTGCATGATGTTACAAGTGGACTAAAGAAGTTTTATTTCACTTGCAGAGAAACACATGTTTGACTAGATTTTACTCTTGTGGGATGAAATAAACCTAAACTGAAGAAACTATTTTCTTTGCAAGTGAAACACAAATCCAGTTGTCTATAGCGCCCCGTGACACAAGGAATTAATTACTTACTAAATTAAAAGCTAACATAATTCTTTTATTCCCTTTGTTTGCTAAATTATTTTTGTCCATTCTGTTACATTTAAAGAAGTTGTATAGTAGACTCAAAAAGAATAAGGTAATTATTAGATATGGCTGCAGCATTAAAATAAAAAGCTTGTAACTGCACAAATGTGCATCCATATTGTGAATCATTTCACTTTACAGGATAACTTATGTAGCTTAGTTATTTTACAGATTTTAATGTGAAATTATTTTATCTAGAAAGTTGATGTGATATAAAGCACTACAACAAGTAAATGTTCTTCAAATTCTTTTGACAAAAGTCTTGATATTTTACAATTTTTTTTTGGTGTAGAAGTATAAAGCTTAGCTTTTTCTCTAGGACCTTCCCTTACTTGAAATCAACTGCAGATTGATGTGGGAACCCTGACAAAAAGCAGGTGTCAATTTTATGCCAACAGATCATGTTTTTTTATGGTAAAGCTCTGACAAACGTCTGCATGTAGCACAGATGCATGCTATAATGGCTGAGCAAGGTTATAGATGGAGACGTGCTCAGAAGTGATGACAGCGACATCACTCATGCTGCTTTAAATGCTATCAGTTAATATTTTGTATCTGTTTACTCCTCTACCCATTGATCACTCCTTTCATTTGCACAGCATGTACTTCATTTCTCCACATTGCAGCTCACTGCGTTTTGGTGAATAGTCTTGCTTGCTTTTGCAAGAAGATGCGATTTCATATAAAGGGTTTTCATTACAATGGTTTGTTTTTTTATCTCCTGTACAGTTATTATGCAATTATATGTTTACTGTATGATATGATTCAGATTTGCAGTAGTAAGAGGAATGTTTCTGTATTGGAGACAACTCTGCTAAAATACCCCATTCATTTACAGACCACATACTGTACTTTTTCCTTTTTACATACTATACTGTTACTGTGTAACAAAGCAATTTAAATATTTTTGTTAAGAGGCTGTTTTTATCCAGTTGGAATAAGACCCTCTTTGACTGGACAGAGTGGTAGAATAATGAACATTTTGCTAATTTGTATTTAACATGCTTTTTAGTTCTCAAACAGGTCATCTAGAATAGGTTTTAGAATACTTGCATTATTGCCCAAAGAGATTAGATGTAAAGTACCTACTTTGTTACATTTAGTGGCACAGCTCACTCACTCAGTTTGTTTATGTGTTCTACAGGTAACACTTACCCTTAGAGGGTGCTGTTGCCCATGTGTATTTTTTAAAACCAAAAATATTTTTTCTGTTCTATACTTTTGTTTACTGTGTTTATGTTAGATTTCTTTATATGTAGACAATGTGTTTAATTGTAAATCACTAATAGGAAAAATTTAATATGGCTTGCAGCAAAAGGGTTGTGAGTGTCTGCTTTACAGAATCACTCTTAAATCACTCTTTCAGCAGGTGTTTTCACACCAAGGAAAGAATGACTGGCACTTCTCTGAACTGATTTCTTAGACTTCAACAGAGCTACGGTTCTCAGAAGTCACAGTTTATTAGATTGGGTCTGTTTACATAACCAATCTTAAATCCTTGGTAAAAACAAAGAAGTGTTCCATTTAAGCAAATTATTAGTTTAATTTAAGTTATGAAAAGCTCTAATGGGGGAAAAGAACTTCAGATTTTTCCCAGTGCTCTAGCTGTGTATTCCCGGTTGAAAGGTCCTAGGCTGAGTGTTATCCTCTTTCCCACCTTGCCAGGCACTTTTGCAGAACGATGGACGAGCTGGTCCACGATTTGGTGTCAGCGCTGGAGGAGAGCTCAGAGCAGGCTCGGGGAGGCTATGCGGAGGCGGGGGACCACTCCCTTTCAGTGGGGTGCCTCCTGAAGCGGCAGGCACGCAAACGGCGGGGAAGGAAGAGGCGCTCGGACAATGCTTGCCCCCCTTGGGAGCCCAGCCACTACCTGAGCGAGGGCTCGGAGTCCAGCCTGGAGGAGCAGCATGGCAAGGATTACCGGAGCGCGAGCCATAGCAAAGACCACAGCGACTCGGACGACCAGCTGCTCGGGGCAAAGCGCCGCCTAACTTCTGTTCTGGAAGCGGGTCGGGCTAAGAGGCCCATGTGGCACGAGGACCCTGTGGCGGAAGGCCTGGGCAGTCGGAGCCTGCGCAGGAGAAGGAAAGTAAAGCGCATGGCGGTCGACCCTCCGGCGGAGGTCGCTAGCGTTATGACACTGACCAAGCAGCAGGGCAGTGCCAGCCAGGAGCTGCCCCCACAGGAGGCCTCGACCAAGCCGCCTGAGCACGGCAAGAGCAAACTGAAAAAGAGAAAACTGACTGCCAGTAGGCACGGGCAAGAAGCGGCCGACGAGGGAGTGGTGGTGGAAAGTGAGGACACTGGCCGTGCAAACAAAGACAAAATGGACTACGAGGATCAAAAGGGCTCTGATGAAGAGATGAGTGACAGGTGGTTAAAGATTCAAGTGTTATTTCTTTTTTTTTTGCCCCTTCACCTTCACTGGTGGATTTTTACACTAAATTGTTCCTTCGGGGGAATAGGTTTTGTGGTGACTACAACTATGCAGTTTGTTGAAAGAAAGGTGTCTGCATATCTAAGTACATTTAAATATGTTTTTGTGAAAAAGGAGAAGGAATTGTATGGAGGTGACAGAGAAAGAAAGACTAAAATCACTAGCTTTCCATTAAGCTATAATAACAGGGCTAGATTTGCAATAAAGCCTTTACTGTTCTTATTTGAACATTGTGTCATATGATTTCTTTAGTGATTAAAGCAAATTACAGTACCTTGTAATTTGTACATAACAAAATGTCTATATATATACTGTATGAATAGATGTCATCTTTACTTTTATTTCCATTTTTTTAGATATGGAGTTGCTTTATGAGCATGCTACCAGTGTTGAAATGAAGGAAATGTTCACAAAAATAATATAATTATCATTTGCTCCTCAGTATATTCTATCTGCAAATACTGAGGGGGAAAAGTAGTCAAAGAGGCCATGTACACAGCAGATTAGCTTTTGTCCTGTTAAATTTTCTTGTTAATTATGTTAGCACACTTTGGATAATGTCTATGTTGTTAAATAGGCATATTTTTGTAACATAGTTCAGCAGATTAGTTACAGTTTCCTCTCAATGAAATTGTGTGCTGGAAGGCTGGTTATTGGCTGTGTTTGACAGTTTGAAAACTGACAGATCTGCAGATGCTGATAGCCTTCCTGACAATTGATTTGCCACCACTTGGTAACTTTCAGTTGGCTATGCTTAAGAGATTATCACTTCTCATCAAGAAGTTATCATTTTTTTGATGGCCAAGTCAAATATTCAGGATGTGTGTTTGGCATGGACATGAGGTGGCTGCGGGGTTGCCTGCAATACAGATAACCCCTGACAGGCACAGACCAATTTGCTGTCCTGCAACACCTGAGCTTACCGTTAGAAATATGGGGGAAAGACTGACCCTTTGGCAGCAGACCCCATCCATCCGGACCCAGCAGCAGGCACACTACAATGGTAATTGCCTCAGAAGTAGTATTTTGACAACACGGATAGGTGTAAGTCATCATTTTTTCCACCACACAGATGAGATGTCACCTGGAGGGGCTGTGAAGCCTGATCATGTTTACACTTCAGTTTGTGACCTAATTCTGTTTTCATTTTGAATACTGCAAACTGAGCAGGTGGGCTTGAGATTAAGTTTGGAAACTGACAAAAACAAATATACTGTGTATCTATATATGTGCATTTTTATGCAGGTAGGGGGTTGATGGGGGGGGGAGTTAGAGGAAAAGGCCATTTATGCCATTAGGTTTTAGGTGTGCGGCTTGCTGTTAAACATCTGCCTTTCAAACATTAACCCTTGTAAAAACAGATTACTCTTAACCCAGGGAGCACTTAATTAAAAATGCAAACAATTTTTCTTTTGTCCTTCACACTAAAGACCATGGTACCCTTGGTCTTTGATTATTTTGAAAACAGATCTCATAAGTCAAACACGTGAAAACATACTTCAAAGGAACTATATTAATATAGGGGAAGAGGTTATCAGGGGATATTATTACATTCTTTCAAAGAACAGCATACGTTTTTCTATAGAAGCATATCACTGTAGATATGCTTCCCTTTTCATTTCTTTTTTAAAGAAATTTTAAAAAACAAACATTATTTTATTATTTGTTTTGTCCTAATTTACTACTTAGCAGTGGATTATGGAAAATTTAATTAAATGAATTATAGAATTCTGATTTTAGCTGTAATAATTCTGGTATTCATACATTTTTTGCTTTACAGCATATACAGTATGCCAGTAATACTTTTTTCAGTCATCTATTTCTGTACTGTTTAACTATGGTCCCTTTGTATCTTTGATAACTCAGGACGGTAATGACTGTTTTTGTTTAAAAGGGTTAAAAAGTGGCAGAGCAAATTGTATCTTTATTAGTCAACCTATATTCCTGCAAAGGTAATAAATTGAATATTGTGCAAAATTATTTAATATAGGGTATTTTATCATTATTTGTGCCGTATTGCTTAGAGACAGCAGTAATCCATTAGATATACAATTTTAATGAAAGGACTGATAAACCTTCTGCTCCTGTGCCCCATGTAGAAGGGCATTTGGTGCTGCCGGCTTCATTGTCACAGCAGGAGATTCATCACCTGCTTAGAGTTTTTTTTTTTTAGCGTTATTCAACTTTTACTAAGTTTCTAGCCATAAACTTTTCTTTTGTGTGTGTGCTGTCCACATTATTTCATATAGTAAATACTATACAGGTATATAGAAATAGCTAGTGCAGTTTTGACCTGGGGGGGAGTTATTATTTTTCTTTTACATGTTTGTATTGGTGCATTGTATCTGTCTATTTATGTATGTACTTTTTAAATCTATTTCTCCAAGCTTATTTTCTTCTTCCAGGTAACTCAAGCAATGCCTGCCTTTGTATATTTGCAAATTTTCTTTTCTGTTTCTGTTTTTTTTTTTATTCAAGAAAGTAATAAGAGCTTCAGGCTCTCCCGTTTCATGTCCCGAAGAAAGGCTTAGCCTGCTTTTGATTGAGGTTTTTCCTATTTTATCGAGCAGCGGTGTTCCAGGGATCAAGCTGAATTGCACAGCATAAGAAAGGAGCAGCGAGCATTTGATGGTGGCAAATAATAAAATGCATCATTTGTGTCGGCGCCTTGCTGCAGTCACATCTGGCTTACTGTCAGGGTCCCATTAGATTCCTGCAGTTTTATGTGCCAAAAATAATATGCTCTATAGTTAATGGAAACAGGATATTTGCAGCCCAATCCCCCCCACCCCAGAAAAAAAAATCTTATTCCACTCCGATCATTCTTTGGCTTAACTTCCATCTGAGCACAGGCTTGTTTCTTTATAATTTTACGATTCAGAGATCAATTGTTCTTTTGATCTGTTTTTTTCTCTTTTTGTTTTGTGTTTGTTATTACAGTGAAACTAGCAGCCTCAGCAACAGTAGCGACGGTGGCTTGTATACCAATGATGAGGGGAGACAAGGTACTACAGTGAATCTTTTTTTCTCTCCTTAATGCAGCATAATAACAATAATCTCAATACTATTTTCTTTACTAAACATTACTGATCTGAATTCTTGTACAGACCTTTAAAGGTACTTTTTTAAAATAATCTTTCCTTTATTTAATATAGTCTACAAGGCAACTTGAGTTAACAGGTTAGCAGAAATGTATAGTAATGCATTAAATAAGTAAAAACAGTAAGAAGTAACGTTTACATTGTTAAAACCTTTATTGTATAAATGCAATGAAGTTTATTCTTCTTGCCTAACTTAATTCTGTGTTTTTGCTACTTTTTAATACTGTTTGTGTTTCTACAGCCAGGTGGTTGTTTTGAGAATTGGTGAATTAATAACACTAAAGTGCTCTGCTGTCCCATTATTAGAAGCAGATTATATTTTATATATATTTTTCTCACCTCAGGTTGTTTTTCTGGGTCTTTTCTGTTAACTTCTGTCTAGGTTCTGTGTCTAAATTTGCAATTATGAGTTGAAAGCAAGAATGGATTTCTTAATAAAATAGCCATAAAATAGGAGTAATGCATTTTCCTCTAGTCTCTTAATTTATGTGTCACCTTTCATTTGGAAGCAACTTTCTCAAAATTTCTAAATGGTCTTTATGTTACTAATTTAATACAGCCACACCTGTTTGCAGTTGTTTTCAATTTAAAATCTCTCTCAAATAACAAAATTATTAATTACACATTATCATTGACTATTAAAAATGTTTTCTGCCATATTTTGGACCTTCAACTTATGAGTAGGCAGCCAGTGTGATTAAGAAAATCTTGCTGTCACGTATTTGGGTGATTTGGGTTTTAAGATAAATCAGATATCCTAAATGTTTTGCAATATGTAAAAATTACATTTTTATTGTAGTTTTGAACTTTCAGCATATTTTTGAAATGATCAGAAGTGAATACCAACTTTTACAAATATTATCTCGCTTATTCAATGACAAGACCCATGTCAACAAGTAGCAGATGACTGAAGGGGAAGATAAACAGGTGATTCTTGTATACTGTAGTATAATACAGAGATAAAAAACACAATGTGGTGACAAATGAACCTTTTTTTTAATTTCCCACATTTTCCTAGAATCTGTCCTCTAATTTTAGATGACTTACAAATTAAAATAAAATTGTGCACACTCACACTGAAGCACATAAAAAGAATAAAAAAATTAAATGCTGTATATCATGATTTTTAAAATTTAGGTTAACTTTATTGGCTAAACTGCTGCTCACATTTTTTCAAAAGGAAAGCCTGATTTTTTTTATTTTATTGTAAACTCTGTATTGCTAGACTAGGATTAGTAGGTTATCTTACTGTTTTGTAACATAAATGTCTTTTTTTGATTTGCTGCACTGGAAATTCAGTGCCGTTTCTATAGCTAAAATTACAAAACTTTGCAACCAGTATCCCAAATTTTGAATGCCTGCATAATCTGTTTGTGCCTGTGTAACACTCAACATTTATAATTTATGCACATTACAACTAGGTATTTTTTAAGTATGATGTAAACTGAATTTTAAAATTGTTACAGAAAAATATATGAAACATTAACCACAATATATTACATGATCAATTAAAGGTGATTTTTATTTTTGGATGAATAATTCATTCCTTTTATTACAAATAAAAAGCTAAAACTCAATTTTCCTCACACTAATTATTATTATTTCTGAACTGGAATGATAAGACCAGTAGGTGCTAAATAAGTCACTAATAAACCTGTGCTTTTACATTAACAATCTAATAATGTTCATTTTCCCAGTCCTATTTTTTAAAAACTTTTGGAAAGATGTGCTGCTCCAGGGAGTCCAGTTGTGGACACATTTTATATATATTTGAATTAACTTGTATACTTTCCTTACACAGTTACCAGATTCAGGACTTTACTGTGAAAGTGCTTTTACTGAGTCTGGGACCACTTGATTGCTCAGCATCTCCACATGTGTTCACCCAAGTGTTATTGCTCTGTTAGTCTGTGTTGAAGGACAGGCAAAATGAAGAATAGGAGGTTGGAAGGAAGTGAATGAAAAAAGACCTGAAACAGTAGAGATCAAGGAAGAATGAGGGTTAAGAGGAAATTACTAGGGCAATCAAAGCAGTTATAAAATGAAGACACGTTTTTCTTGGGTTCATTGTGACAAATATTATATAAAGTTTACAGCATGCAACAATTGTAATGAGAAGTATGCATTCTGCCAGAAGCACGTACAGGTGTGAAATAAAAAAAATAGCCAAGTAATTAAGTGCAATAAATAAAAGAGCAATTTTAAATAAAGTTTTTAAATTATATGGGAGTTAAACCACTTTGTATTAAATGTAAGCTTAGTTTTTTTTTCCTTAGTGTTTTAGTATAGTTCATGTTGTGTCTTATTATCATGGAACAACTTTTTCCTTGAACAAAGTCCATTATCGTGAATTTCTAATGCTTGAATATCAAACAGTATGACCTTATAGAATGGTGTTTAATGGGAAGCACCTTTGAATTAGTTATTGTAAGAAATTTCACTCTTGGGGAAAACCCACTTTATTGTGACTCAGTGTTGGTACAAGTATGTGAAACACTGTAGCAGCTGTGTAGGAACATTTTACTGCAATACCAAAATTTAGGTGTACTGTGTAATCAGATTTGATTCACATCCATTATTTTTTCTTTAAAAAAAAGTTTTTTCGGAAACTTTTTTTAGTAAATGATTGTGTAATAATAAAAATGAACTTCATAGGTGTTCATTTGATTGTTTTCCTCTCCCTTTATGAAGACATAAATCCACCCAGGAATTTAGTTTGCAGTAAATTACAAAGCATGCTGCTGGGAGTCAGAATTGAAATAGAACCACAAGATGAGGATGCATTTCTAGTGCTTCAGTAGAGTTCAGTTGCTGCTGAAGGAACCTTTTAACTTACTTCAGATGTGGGTTTTTTTCCTCCCGTCTGACTGTCTTCTGGGGTTTCATTAAATGCATTCAGGTGACGATGAGCAGAGTGACTGGTTCTATGAGGGTGAACCTGGCGGGGCATGTGGCATTGCTGGGGTCATCCCCTGGTGGGAGAAGGAGGACTCCTCAGACCTGGAGAGAGAGCTGTCTGACCCTGTCTTCAACAGCATCCTCACCGGTTCCTTTCCCCTCATGTCAAAAGAAGCCCGGGGAGGTCAGTTGCACTCTTAATTCCCTGCTGGTATTCTTAGGCTGTTAGTGGGTTTCGTGTGCTTACTCCAGTGATGGTTTAGAGGTGAACAGTAACGCATTAGACTGTCATTACCTTGACAAGTTTCAGCGTTTCACTTCAGAATTTTGCATACTCGTCTTTTTACCCTTTGTAGACGTGCCTATACTTTTGGATGAAGTTCCTTCTTAGCAAAAAAGCAGATCATGACAGTTCTGTACTCCTTATTAATGGTTAATATCTGTCACAGGCTGCTTTTAGCATTACCGGTACCAGTGGCTTGTTGTGTTTTCATTCACTGCCTCTTGTAGCATCGCAGAATACTAGCTTGTGTTTAAGCTGTACTGTACTGCTTTGACAATACTTTTTTATACCATGTGTACTTTTTCCCAGGATTTCAGGCAAGGCTGAATCATCTGCATGGGGTGCCATCTGGAATGAACAGAGCAACAGTGCAGCAGTCTGCAGGAAAGGTATGTGGTGACTCTTTTTCTGATGTTTGTAATTAATAAACTAAATAATCAAGCTGACCTTCTCATGAGAGAACCTGTACTCCAGAATGAGCCATATGTGCCTCAGTCCAACTTTGTTGGAGCTCTGCTTATTTTCAGAAAGCGCATTACAGTTTATACAACAATACAACTTTCCATACCAACCACGGGCTTGAAAAGGCTTTATTCAAGTACATAAATACAGCCAAAAGAACACACCCTCATCTAAGACATGTGTATGCAGACAATATTAGCTGTCTACAGAAGCTCATGTACTGTATACAGACAATTTCTCAATTAATTAAATCATGTTTCAATCTAAGTGCAATATATATAAAACCAGTACTTGAATATATTAAAGTAAATTTGCATACATGTATACTTTCAAGGCAATCGATTTAAGAAGAAATAATTTAATTATATTCTACCACAGTATGTTTAAACCTAAAGTCAGCAGCGGTCTTGTCAGAAATCTTTATTTGTTATATGTGTTTCCTTCACAGCTTTATAATAAGGATGACCAAAAAAAGAGTTAAAAATTAATCAGCAAATATATCCTGCAATATAGATAAAAATAAATACATACAAGTTACTCTAATAATGATCTGAGATCCACATGAGCTATATATTTTTGGGTTAAAAGAGGGACTTTGTTAGCTGGGCTTAAAAACAGTTTAGGAATGTTTATTTATTGACTGTTATAACTAGTATGTTTTATATGGATTGAATATCCTCTTTAAAACAGTCGACTTGCTCATTGTTACGACTGCCATATCCTTGCTTTTTGTATTAACAACAAGAATGTCTGAACTCTAGTCACCAAAAAATGCCATTTTCAAGTTTTATTGCTCTATATTGTTTCAATTAACTTGTTGCGGTTTGAATGTGTTTGCAATAATTGTTGGAAGTTAAATGTGACTTTCTGATTTGATGGATCTTTCTTTGATATACTGTATAATTTGACTTTCCACTGTTTAATTGCAAGCTTTAATACAACTGTGTTTATAAAATACCATATTAATTAATGGTAGTTTAGTTTTAAATAATATTCTGTTAATGAAAAGATTAACTTCAATAATGGACCATATGAGTGCACACAGTAAAAATAAAATACTAGAATTTTACTATCCACCTTTTTTACATTTTTGTGCCTGTGGCCACTGCAGTGCGTTGTTGTTATTTTCATGTTCATTACAGATTACAGATAAACCACTTAGCAGGAGAAACATTAAGCTTGCTTGAAGTGCATGAACTGGAGCAACAACTGAACTCAAATTTAGAAATTCACAAGCATAGGGAGCAGTTTGTGTCTCCTGAAATTACAGCACAGCTGAGTGTCATCGGGAAAAATAGCAGTGTTTCCTACTTTGGTAGAAAGAAGTCACATTTTCGCTGGCCTAAATGCTCGTGCGACTGTGAAAAAGTCACTACTTAGGGCTGCAAATGCATGAAAATCTCCAGTGAGCTAAATTACAAGAAACCTCTACAACCTATAAATCTAGTTGAACCTATATAACTTGATTTAACTTGCGGCGTTCGTTCTTGCCTATATTTGTGACATTTTGTCATATATACACAGTATACCACTCATGTAGATAAACTTGGGGAGAACTAGATAACAGAATATTTCATGTGTAATGTAACATATTTAGCACATCTTTTTTTTATAAAAAGCATGGAATAATGCGTCTTCCATTTTGCTTCTTAAGAAGAAGAAAATCTTGCGAAACGCAGAATACCTCTGTGTAATTAGCAATCAATGTATTAAAAATGTCCCTGCAGTTGTGTAATTACTTTTTATGTTGCATTCATGTACACATTCACATATAATCGCATTTTGAAATCAATTACAAATAAAGTTTGTGGAACCTTTGACTTTGGAGGGGAATTCCAGGTTCATAGTACATACAGTAGTGCTACATTTTTACAAAAACACTTCTCTTTTGACCTTTGTGAGAGGTGACTGTGATGGTTTCATTGTTTTAACAGTTTTACAAAATTTGATTTTACAATTGAGTTACAATTGTGGGCATTGAAAGTTGTATACATTCCAATTATATTATTTCTTCATTGTTTTGAAGGGTATTAAGATGTTGTTATCCACTTCCTCAAGTATATAAGAACTTACAAAAGGTAACAAACACGAGCTTGTCAGATTCTGCTGTTTTTTACAAAGTGTGCATAGGTGCTCTTTTGTTTTCTCTGCCTGCTTAATTCAAATAAACCCATGAATTGCAGCTGTTAGGCAGAAGAAATTTAATTATTTGTACACTGACTTAAGACTTAATGCAGTTGTTTTATTAAACACACATGTAGTGTTGATTGACAAACAGAACTGAATTAATAATGGAACTCTATTCGTTCTTTTGTGGTTGGAATTTTAATTGACCTTGATGTGTATTTTAACCATATTAAGCACAAAAGATACACTTGTAACCACATTAAGGTTGTGCTCTAATAATGAGTCCTACAGTAGTCACATTTTGAGTCCAGCAGTCTTCGGCCTTAACCATCTGAACAGCACTTTGCTACTAAGTCCAAACTAAACTTCTGGTTGACTTTCTCTATACCCCTTGTGATTTTATATACTTGGATCAAACCAGCTCTATCTAGGTTTGTCAAGATTGAAGGTTTTTGTTTCCTAAACCTGTCTGAAATAAGTAAACACCCGAATAAAGTGTTGAACTATCCCTGAGGCTATAATACCCATTATGTGGTGACCAAAAATGAACGCATGATTTCTTCCAGTGTCATGGTAAAGTTTGAGCATATCTTTGCTTGATTTGAATTCCACTCTTATTGCTATATATTGAAACATTCTTTGTTTTTTTTATTCCATCCATGCATTATTTTGGTGTAATGCAGGTAAACCAACCTAAACACAAACTTGAGAAAAGAATCACCAATGTGAATGATATCCTACTTCCTGCATCACTTTTTGCTTGTCAACTTTATATTTATTTTACTATGCCGAGGCTCAAGATATGATTTTTACCTATAGCAACAGTAAAAGTGATCTTATAGCTTCCTGATTCAGTTTCGTCCCCATTTTTGCAAATTGGTGTTACATTTGCAGTTCTTCAGTCTATGGGTACATCTCCCATCATTAGTGACAGTTAAAATATCCTGGTTAAAGGTCTATGAATATCATTCCTCATTTCCTTAAGTACAACTGGGAAAATAATGTCAGGCCCTGGTGATTTATTAGTTTTAAACTGTTCTAGTCCATGTAATGCCTCAGTGTCAGTTAAGCTAAAATTACTTAGGACTGATGGAGCTCCTTATACAGCCCGTGGCAAGTAGTTGAGATGAAAAAAAAAGTGCATGAAATTTTCTTTTAGCATATGTACTATTTTTGTGTCTTCTAATCTTCTTGTACTAACTATATGCTATCTCTTAAACTGTTTGCTTCAACTTTTATAGTTTCCACTTTTGTCACTACTGAAAAGGTTTGCTTGCTTTTATCTCCTTTACTAAAATATTATTTTCTCTCTTTGTGTTTGAGGTTCTGATATAGTATATACTGTATATATTTCTTAATTTTGCTCTTCCTTGTTTTTTTTTCTTAAAACTTACATTAATCCTCTCAGGTTGTATTTTCCTAGACTTGGACTTGATATTTTAGGAGTATTTCAATTGAAATCAATTTGTAAGTGCTTTTTGCAAACTGAGTTAAGAAGCCATCATTAACTGATTCAACCATATGAATTTCAGCTACTGCATTCATCATCACAGTTTCTCAAAATGTATGTGAACTTTAAATCCACCATTAATACCACATCATGTTTACATGCATTATTTCTTCATATATATATACTTGCAATATACATATACAATAAGATGGTCTATAGCAATACTTGTAAAGCCTTTAGAATTTATGTTTTCCAGTATAACCCATAAATAGTTGTTATTAGTATTAACATAACAAAATCACAACAGTAACTTTAATACTGGGCAGGTCATATTATTAAACCTTATTTCAGAGTGAAATCTTTTTTCACTCTGGTTCTCTGCAGTCATTTTATAGATACCAATGTTAATTTAATCTTAACAACATAATTAGCGATCATAAGCAACTTGCTAGCTGGCTGACAAAAAGGTTAAATGTTTTTTAAAGGGGTGACTGGCTTGTATAGGGTGTAGCAAACTCTATATTTGGATGAAGCTCCTTTGGCAGCACCTTCCACTTCTTAATCTTCAACTTTATCATACTTAAAGAATTTTTAAGGGTCTTTGAAATCTTTAACATCTTTCTTATGATTTGTGGCTTTACACAGTCTTACCTCTGAGATGTATTGAAAATTCCTTGGTTGAATCTTTACTTCAAATTCACTACCTGACAGTGGGACCTTACAGATTCAGGTGTATTCTGAAATCATGTAAACTACTACTGCACACAGACAGAAGCCACACAACTGATTGTGTGATTTGTAAGGGTAATTCTGAGCATCAAATTTAATGTGTTTGCCACAACAAATAGTTTCAATATTTATGCAATTACAACGTTTTTCCATTTATATTTTTCCATTAATTATTTACTTAATTATGTTTGCTTATGTTTGACGAGTAGGTTGTATATATAACCAGTATTATTTGCTACTCCAAAGAGTCATGGCTGTAAGCTTTAATGCAACAAAATATGAAAATTGCAAGGACTAAATACTTTTGCAGGGCTCAGTATATCAGTCATGGAAAGAAATCATAGTAGACAAAGGTGTTACAAGAGAGCATTTAAAAGGCCAGGGATACATGAGCTTTTTATTATTTGTTCTAAAGTGGCTGTAATTACCAGGTTCTGAACTTATCTGCTCTTGTCTCCATCAATGCAATTTTCTTTTAAAGCCAAGGAAGGAGAATCTCGTAAAGACCTTGGCCTGTGAACTTTCCCCTTCTGTGGTCATGGTTCAGGTACACGCTATCTATCCCTTGATCCCATTTCTGCCTATTTTTATTTTGCTTCACTGCTTGCCTGAGCATAGCCT